ATAAGCCTCAGTGGTAGAGGTCACAGGTCATGGCAGGGGCCATCCAATATATTTTTAAAGCCCAGGAGATGTATTCCATTTAATGCTTCACCCTGTCCTGTCACACATTTTTAAATATTTAAAAAAAAAAAATTTTTTTTTTAATTTAAAAAAGAAAATTTATTAGTGACCTGTGTTAATGTTTTTTTTTTTTAAAACGATTTTGCTTCTGGAGTCTTGGCTTTTTTAAATATTGTTTTTTTTCAATGTTCCGTGAGCAACAGGGTTAAGTTCTTATATACTTTTTAATTACATGCATGGTTTAACAACAGTATTATAGGTACTTATCATGAATTTGCCCCCACGGTGAGATCTTCCCCTTCCATTCATGCCGCAGCTGGTCGTACAGCCTGTCCTATGTTGTGGACAGTGTCATGTATTCCTTATATTGAACCGTTCTCTCTTTTCTCGTGTTGTCACCGCTCAGTTGCATCATTATTTCCAAGCTGTGCTACTTGTCCAGTGGTTCGGGAGTATCAAAACTGGAATGTTTTTGTATTTCTATGTTCTTTGTCAGTGGCATCTTTTTCTAGTGGAAAGCGACCGCCAAGGAACGTAGATTTACAAAAACATCCCAGTTTTGATATTCACGAACAGTCGCATCTTTTGGCGCTTCCCCCTGCAGTACTTTTTACTTGTACACAGGCATCTGCAGCACCTCAGAGACTCATGACAGCACAACCTCACACAAACATTGTATACGGCAAGCAAACGCAGAACGAAGCCATCTTTTAACACTCCCACAACATAGGACAGGCCATGCGACCGGCTGCGGCATGAATGGAAGGAAAGGTACTCTGTGTGGGAAAGTTCATGATAAGTTCCGACAGTTAGCTGCGTACCTTTTACAGGTCATCCCCCCCCCCCCCCCCCCCCCCCCCCCCCCCCCCCAACCAGCATTTTGTTGTTTGTTTAAAGTGTCACCCGGCAATTTTTGTTCATTACTTGAATAAGGAAGGTGAAATAATTTCTGAGTCAGGCAAATGCAAAATTCTAGAACAGCACAGTTCATAGTAACTGCTAACATTGCAGCCCTAAACCCTCAAGACCTCGTGTCCTACACTGCTGTAATAAGTTGTAAGTAAGGCTCTAAAAATTATTGGTAAACCTTATGGAAATCTCCCCAGTGAGTCTTAGCTCCGCCTATTTACACACTAGGTCACTTTTTATTGGTGCTTGCTCAGGCTCATCAACTTTGCTGAAGGTTACGGGGGCGTCCCGGTGTATTGTTTGCTCGTAATTTGTATGCGTTGTCTTCCATTGAAGTTATCATTCCAAGAAAGAGAATGTGGGTGACGTAGGTTCCAGCACTCTCGTAGGAGGGTTTGTGTTAGGGCCAGTCCTGCATGTTTTTGGAGCGTTAAAAGCGCTGACGTGCTGGAATATACAACACGCAATATCAACGTGAGCTAACACACATTGGGGAGATTTGCATAATGTTCACCAATTACTGTTTTCTCTGTTTCCCCAGTTACGCTCTAATGATGCAGTATTATATATAACAAACAGACAATGCAATGATTGGCCCTCGTAGAAAGTTAGAAGGGCATACTAGGCACATACAAACTGTACCTGAAGTCAACATGATCACTGCAATACATTTTCTGCAGCAAGGTGCTGTGAAGTGACAGATTCCATTCCAGGCATGGTAACCATAACTTTCAATTATATTGTCTAGTGTGTCCTTCTATCTTTCTGTCTAGTTTTTGTGTGTCCTATTTTTCTACTTTTTTGAGTGCCGATCAATACATTACCTGTTTATTTGGAAAATTATTTTTCTACGGTCTGAAGGGTTCCCCATCAGTTTATTTCTCTGTATATAGGGAAGGGATGCAGAGGCTAAGGTTACAATTTATCCCACTGCACCTAACCAACACACATTTTACAGCATGAGCGCAATCAAACATTCTCAGATTCTCTCTCTCAACATAAGAAAACAAACAAATGGGCGGAAGGACTGACTGGTTGAACTTTATTAAAACATTCCATTTAAAAACCAAGAACAACACTGCAAGACAGACCAGTCTTAATTTTCCAGTTCTGAGCAGGAGACGGTAGCCTTTGTTGACATAAATTATGACACAGCACAGACATTGCTACCATCCACATGGAACAACTAGCCTTCTACCATCATACGCAAAACAGTTTCAGTGAGAAATCTACTGCTGAAATATATAACATCTGCCAACGCACTCCAAGGAGCCCTCATCAAGTTTCAGAAAGCTACTTCAGGAATGCATTAGACCAGTGGGTTCTAAATAAACTAAGACCTGTGGACAACTTTCCTATTTGAGAAGGTCAGACGAGCATCCCATGCTTTTTTAATAGTCATTTTGAAGGAACCACACACAATACATCATGCCAATTGCTCTTTTTAAGGGGAGGTACAGAAGAAGACCGCTGACTCCTCTCCTCTCAAGACAAACTCAGACTCTGCATGAAACACCAATGATTAGTTGCCCTTTAGAATACGCCCAAACACATGCGTGTCATGGAGAGCAATTTATTTAAATTTTTTTTCCCTGAAGAGGTTAAGTCCAGGATCCGACATGCAGAAATTATTTCAAAGCTGGCAAATGAGAACTCACCTGGAAACATACTGCTCAGTTTTAATTTTTTTTTTTTGTAAACATTGAAAAAAAAGTTATTTACTTGAGAATATTTTGTTAAAACTTTAAATTCTAGCTGCCTCTAACTCATATCTTTTTTGAATAAATTTTCTCCCAAGAAATAAACAGTGTGTTACAAAGAAAACAGGTTTACATAAGCCAATCACTCTTGATCGTCTAATCACTATCCTCAGAACTGCTGGCTGAACCGAAAATTTCTTCTTCGTCCTTTTTACCCTTGTCTTCTTCAGCTTCACTTGCACTGCCTCTGTCACTGGGGCTTTTGCTCCTGCTGCGGCTTCTACTTCTGCTGCTGCGGCTGGCACTTCTGCTCCTGCTCTTGCTGACACTCCGTGCTGGGCTGGCTGACTTGCTTCTGCTCTTACTCCTGCTCTTGCTGCGGCTGACACTGCGACTCCTGCTAGGACTAACACTGCGACTTTTGCTGCGGCTAACGCTGCGACTCTTGCTGCGGCTAACACTGCGACTCCTGCTGCCACTGCGACTGCGGCTGGCACTCTTGCTCCGACTTCTACTCCTGCTTGCACTGAGGCTTTTGCTTCTGCTGGCCCCACTTCTCTGACTACCACGGGATCTCACACTGGCCCTATCTTCCTCCTCCTCCTCTTCTTCCCCACTGTCCACCTTTCTCCTCTTGTTGTCCTCATCCTCACTTTCAACATCGGAGGCACCTTTCAGTTCCTCAGAAGTTACTGTAATTGAAAATGGCAAAAAATTAATAAATATAACATCCCCATTTAACATACACACAAATGAATAGTAACAGCATTTAACAGCAACTAAAATAAGGTATGTTTGCTATATTTAAAAGAGCCGAAAACTGTTGGAAAAGACCAAATTCACAAACCCATGTAGAGATGAAAGCCAAAGGAAAAATTGCCCCGTGGGGAGGAGGGAAGGGGGTTAAACCTAAAGAAATTTATCAGTGGACGAAGGTGCCTGTCAGTCAAGCATGTGTATGAGTGGAGTTGGAAGTTTACAAATAGCATGACTTGTGTGACAGACTGTTCATGACTGGGTCAGACACACCGAGCAGGACCCCCAGAGTCGACTGCAGCCGTTGAAGAGCTCGTACAGGAAAACCACAGAGTGAATGTGAGTGACATTGTTGCACATCCTGACATCAGTAAAGGTTATGCAAACGCCATCCATGATGTGCTACAGTACTGCAAGTTGGGTGCCATGGCAGCTTACTCCAGAATTCAGTCAACACACTGATAGTCAAGAACTTTTACAGTGCTCTCTGAAGCACAGGTGGTTGGTTTTCTATTTAGAATTCTTACTGGAGATGAAATCTGGTTTCAATATCACTAGCCAGAAATGAAGAGAGTAAGCAAGGTATGCCATCCCTCCTCACCGAAATTAAAGACATTTCACACTTCCACCAGTGATACGTATACAGATATCAGGAATCACCTTCGACTTGCAATCAAATCAAAACAACGTAGACCTCTAAGTAAATGTGATTTCTGCAACATGAAAATTCTCGATGTTATACTGTCCGTGCAACAGTTAATACCACAGAAGACCTAGATTTTCAGTGTGTACCACATCCCTCAAACTTGCCAGACCTAGCCCCAAGTAAATTTCACCTGTCTGACACATCCAAGAATCCCATGGAGAAAAGACGACTTTCTGGTCCAATAAAAGGTGCAGCAGGTGGTGCAGTTGCACATCTTCTACAGCATTTAAGCCCTTGAGGTTCATTGCTGCAGATATCACCCACCCCTATCCATCTCTCTGGTTGGCCTTTTATTTCCAGTTGGTGACACCAAGTATTCGCAGGTCTGTCTGGAAGTTATCTCTCCTATCATCTTCTTTGTCTGCCTCGAGGTCTATGACCACCCAACTGCCTTGTGTGTACAGTTTTTACCTCTCTGTCATTTGACATTCTCTCAATATGTCCAAGCCATTTCAGTCCATAAGCTCTTATGATGCCAGTAGTTGCACATGTGATGAGCGTAATTTTTGTTTCTACAGGAATCCACGCATTGTATCAGCACTAGAGTGGCAGTGAAAAATGATACATTTGTTTGTTATTTTTCAGAATATATTTAACCCCCCCCCCCCCCCCCCCCCCCCCCACGATATAAGGTGTTCATTTGAGGACCCTTGTATATTAAGAGATATCCTGTGACATGTGAAGGGGGCATTCTTCTCTTATGTCAATACCTGCCTTGCGCAGGCAGTAAAACTGCTGACTTGTAGCTCGACTGCTTGGTCTACTGTGATGATGTTGTGGTCTATCATTTGTCCAGAAAACCAGCAGAGAATTCAAATGTTCAAACACACAAACCATCAAAATAAGGGTGACATTAGCAAAGACAATACCTTCTGCTGTCAGGTTAGGCATTGGTTCTTCCTCCTCCTCCTCTTCACCTGGTGGTTCAAGCATCTGCAAGCGTCCCGCCTGATTGTTCAAGTCAAAACAGAAAAAAGTCAGTCAATGACTTCATACATAATACAAAAAAAAAACATAAGTTATCGCCCACAGAGAGTGTATCATCTCCTTAGACTGGGACTCTGTTCAGGGGAACAGAAAATAGACCCACTGACTCCCTAACAAGCATGTCATAGAAGGCGACTACTTAGAGGCTTCTGCTGCAAAGTCGGAGTACATCTGCCTGAGAGGCAAGGATCCAACAGTCTGCATACAGACAGATGTACATATAAAACTCAAGATCTGGAGCAAGCTAAAGTCCAGAAGTAGATAAACATCCAGAACTTTCCACCAGAGTTTACAGCTGCTAAGAAGAAGAGGGAGAGTGCGTCACCTCACAGAGAAGACTCCCATCAGTTACACTGAAAGGTAAAGTCACTAAAAGCCTCTTATCACACCAACGGCGCATGAGGTCAACACTATACCGGCCGCCTTTAGTTCCCAGGACTTTACCCGTACCATTTTAGGCTGGAACAACATGGGAGCCAAAGTCACTTTAAAAAGAAAAAATTATTTCAATTAAATTCATACCCTTCGAGTCAGCAGACAAGCACCTAGCCACTGCACCACTGCCGCTCCCACACTGAATACATGACACCTTGAGGTGCTTCTGGCACTTATCTCTCATTTGTATAGAACTATTGCCACTAAACAGTTGATGTGATCAATAAAATACTAGCTGCCTTTACTTTCCAGGAAACATTTTAAAAAAATTATGCCACAATGTGGATTCAAACCCATGATCACTAGACCGGTAGGCAATGAGCTATTTAGACTCACTATCTAATCAAAAAAGACATATCTGCTACAGACAGGGAAGACATTATCTTATCAAATCACTCTCTGCAGCAGTGAATCAATTGTTTTAAAATAAAAACAGTGCTCACCCCCCCCCCCCCCCCCCCCCCAGTATGTGGCAAACCATCCCCCTCTTCAACATAAGATATGATTAAAAAGAGTAGGAAGGTGTTCTTAATGTATAATTAAATGCATATGTTATTATGTTAATTAGATTTTTAAACGGTAGATGTACAAACTGCTCATGGAACAAAAATGTCCTTGGCTTTTTGTTTTATAGTTTGAAACATTTTATTTATAAATTAAATTTGAAAAAAAAAAAAAAATTTTGTATAGCAGATTATTACAAGTACACATGTACTCATTTTCTAAACTACTTGACGTTCCCCTCTTGGAATTTCCTTATCTCCTCTCCCTCCCCCCAGGTTGGAGCCACAGATCTTATAAAATAAATACATTATCTTACAGAAAACACTGATCTTTTACCATAAGCACACTATCTGTTAAACTGATCTCGGCCTAAAATGTATAGATTAACCTGGAAGCCAATGTCAATTCTGAAAACAATCCATCTGATAAAGCAATATTGGTTAAAAAAAAAAAAATCACGTCTATCAGTAAGAATCAAACCAATGAATACTCCACAGACAGATGAGCAATCACTATATTATGCTATCATAACCCTTTCTTCAGTTAACAAACAAGGCAATCAGGATATATCTGTATTCTTTATGGGAGAAAAATCCATTGTGTGTTGAGCTTATTTTTACATAAGAGTAAGGTCCTATAATACTTCTTGAGCATTCTAGGCACTTGAGGATCACTGCTGCAAATATCCCCTTGCCTCCATTTATCTCTGTGACAGGCCTTCTCTTTCCACTTAGTGATTCCGAGTATCTGTACGTCTGCCTGCACATTATTTTCATCTCCCCACCATCTTCTTGGACTGCCTAGTAGTCTACTGTAACACTTAATGAAACCAAAACAAAAGCATACCTGTGCCGCCATTTCTTTATCAGTTAATGGTCTGTGTTTGACAATCAGTCTAGATTTCAGCTGGGCATTGGTCATTGTTTTTCTGCGTTTGCTCAGTCGCACTCTGTGTAAACATATATTAATGAGCAATTTAAATAATATTAACATTAGGATTTACATACTACATGACCAGCCATAAAAAAATAAAAAAGACGCATGATCCCATTTCTGTAACATCATGGAACAACAGAGCTTGTCTTCATCATATGTCTCGAATTAACTGTTAATCTCCTTTTGTCTCCCACTATATCCTTTGTCATGTGGGTTACAGAAAAATGACCTTCTAGTTATCCCATTATAAATTTGTGAGTAATATCTTGTATCCGCATCTCTTCCTCGCCTTATGAATCTGTGCAGGTCCCTGCATTAGTGATTCTCCCATACCATTTTAATCCTAGACTGCAATGGAGCTATAGACTATGAACCCTATGTGACATATTATGGCACACCAGGATGATGATGATTGAATGAAGATTAATATATTTGCACCTACCTTGTTTCTAATTCATTGTAATAAACACCATCATCTCTCATGATGAAAAAGTATGTCTCTTCGTAGCCCTTGGACAGTTTATTTTTGACATTCCAGTTGTATTCTCTTGCTAGCAAGTACTCATATCTGAAGGAAAGTCAAATTTTAGAATTTACATATAAGTTAAGATGTTGAAAAATCCCACTAACGACCTACAAAAAAGTAAAAGTCCCCTTTTCACGCCCTTCAGGCGTATTGGGCATACAGGGCTAGACTTTTATTATATAGACCAATTGACACTTTGTGGGTAATGTGGTCACGTTTACTTCCCAGGACTGTAGCTGATACCCACCGAAGGCTGGGTCAACCTAGGAACCAAGGTCATTTGAAAAAAAAAAAAGTCAGGCACCGTCACGACCCAGACCTTCCGATCCGCAGGCGAGCTTCTAGCCGCTACCCCATGGTGATAACATACTTAATGAACTTATAATCCAGTAAGTACATAAACAAGTTATTAAAAAATAATCGTGGCATAATATGGAATCAACAACTGTGCTCTATGTGTTGTGACGATGCTTCATAATTCTGGGGTGCCTGGTTTAATCCCATATGTAGGGAATCTGGCAGCAGACTGCCTTGTGTTGGCTTCAACAGTGGTATTGTTCAGGAAGCAACAGCAAGCTACTGAACGTAAAACTGCCAGGAAAAAATGCTAGGGTAGATTCTGCAAAGTCTTGTAAAAGATAAGCAAACTTAATATGGAGTTTATATCAGCTAAGGCAATGTTTCCTAAACTTTTTTGGCCCACCGCCTCTTTGTCAATAAAAAAAAAATAATAAATGAATAAAAAAGAAATTGCCTAGCACCCTATTCTCCCGGGGAAATATCATCATCATGTGCCACATCAAAAAAACATAGGAGGTCATCATTGGCCATCCTACAGTCAGCAGAATCATGAATCAGGTGGTGATCTTGTCCAACCCCAGGTATCTGGCCAAACGATCAAGTATTTATCTTTTTTAATCTGTTCTCTTTTTATTTCCGAATGATATAATGGCTCCCCGAGTGGGTTCCGGGGCCCTATTATAGGGAAAACAAGAATAGACAAACTGCCTATCCAAAAGCATGTCGTAAGAGTCGACTAATTGGGAGCTTCCTTTGAAGTTGGAGTGCATCTGCCTGTGAGGCAAGGAACCAACAGTCTGCATACAAATGAGTCATCTGTAAAACGGATGCACATACAACACTCAGGCTCTGGAACAGGACTGCAGTTCAGAAGTGGATGAACAACCAGAACTTTCTACCAGAGTTTACAGCTGGTGAATGCAAAGAAAAAAAAGATATAATGGCGACACTGTTTCTTCCTTCCACACCTTACATCATTTTCTGGTCAGTAAATTTTTTTTAGTCTTCTCTCCGAGTTCAACTTCACAAATTATTTTAAGGGTGTCTTTAGCGTTTAAATGACTCAAGACAGATGGGGATTGAACAAGGTTTCCTGATCTCTGCCGTTTAATTTCTAGGGATCTTCAGTAGACTGGAGTTCACTGTTGGGCTAGATCTGTTCTCGTGGACATGATTATAATGTTGTTTAACATTTTTAAAATTTTATTTCATAGCTGTTGCTGTCATGTTTAAAGCGTGAGATGGCTTAGAGGACTAATTTTATGTATGTGGATATGGCTGTTTTTTTTTTTTAATTAGCTTATCTGGAGTATTGGGAGTCTGCTCAATTGAAAGAAGGGTTGCTGCCTGAGCTCTGAAGTTGGTGCAATATTCCCAAGCAGATACTGAGTGTGTCTGTGTTGCAATTAGTGTGTGTAATGTAGATTCCCCCACTTTCTTTGTTCTGACTCAGTTTGGGCATTTTGCAGATTAATCGCGGGACTTCCAGAACTGTGCTGGACAGGGGGGAAGAGAGGGGAAGGGGGGGGGGGGTCCTCGCTGCTCCATGTATTTTCTGCAAGCCCATATTTTTAAAATCATACAGGTTTCACGAGTTCATTTTCACCGCTTCAACCCATCACATTGAGCCCTATTCTGTAGAAGGTCTGCATGTTCCTGTGTAGACTAACCAGCCTTTAGCTTTTTGTACTGGCTATCCAGTATGTTCCATCCAGTTTTTGTTTTCATAAGTCTTTATATGCCTATTGTTTTTCTTCTGAATTTGGCTTTCATGTGAGCTTGGTGTCTAGTGTAATTACCCACCCCCCCCCCCCCCCCCCCCCCTCCCCCCCCCCCCCCCCCAATCCCCCATTACAAAGTAGGTAGACCTTTTCTTACATTAAGAGTACTATTTCTTTTTATAGATGAGAGTAAATATAATGTTATAATGAGTTTTGTTTGTTTTAGTTTTAGACTGTTTTGGCCTAGCTATTTTAAATAGTAGTCGGTAGTATTGTCTCTGTTATCACAGAATGCCTAACGACATTACTAAACACGTCATCCCAAATTCTGCCAGCGACTTCTGATAGAGAAGTGCACAGGGGAGGAGACTAATATTAATTTTGCCAGGAAGAGGAAATGTAATTGGAAAACAGCTATGCCAGAGCAGACCTAGCCATAGCCATAGTTGGCAGTGGGTCTATGAGGTAAGCTCCTATAAGCGGACAGACAGAACATTGCTGTTCTGATCCGGCAGCTTCTGTTTTGAACGTATTGGTGTCAACTTTCCTTTCGAGTAAACAAGGCAGGCTGAGCGACAATGCTGCACTGGCAACATCTGGCTTCTACAATAATGTGTAGGTTTTTTCTCTGGAGAGGATAAATTTCATCCCGGCTCTACTGGCAAGTTTTGGCCGGTAAGCTGGACTGCTTCGGCCGGCTTAGCGGGGCTTAGTGGGAGTTATGTCCCTTCGCGTCCCTTCGCCAAACTCAAAACAAGTCGCGGAAAAAGTCACGAATCAAATGACATACTTACCTATCATCATCCGGGTGCGTGTAGGGCTGCGTAGGGTTGCGTCTAGGGTTACCTATCATCATACGGTTGCGTGTAGGGATGCGTAGGGTGTCTATCATCATCATCGGTTGCGTGTTGCGTGTAGGGTGTATAGGATTGGGTTAGCAGTTGGGTGTAGGGGTGTGGATTTAGGGTAGGGTTAGGGTTAGGGGTAGGGTTAGGGGAGGGTTAGGGGGTAGGGTTAGGGTTAGGGGTAGGTGTAGGGGTAGGGGTAGGGTTAGGGTTAGATGATGTAAAAATATTCACGTAGGAGGTGGAAATACTGGCCGACAATCTGATGCTTGTGGGAGTGGCGCCACTGGAAGTGTGCCAAATATGATGGCAATAGCGCGCGGCTGGTGCCCAATCGGTGGCGAATAGTCCGTGTCAGTAGCATCCACCGTCCGTCGACTGTTTGCGCGTGCATGCGACTGTGCGCGATTGTAGGGAACTACGGCATCACAATTGTCACATCTAACGCTACACCTAACCCTAAACCCTAACCCTAACCCAAAACCCTAACCCTAACCCCTAAACGCTAACCCTAACCCTACCCCTCATCTATCTTACGCAAACAACCAACCCTACACGCAATAAGCAGCCCTACACGCAACCGTAGGACGATGACAGACACCCTACGCAAACCTACACGCACCCGGATGATGATAGGTAAGTATGCCGTTTGATTCGTGACTTTTTCCGCGACTTGTTTTGAGTTGTTTTGAGTTTGGCCAAGGGACATAACTCCCACTAAGCCCCGCTAAGCCGGCCGAAGCAGTCCAGCTTACCGGCAAAATTTGCCAGTAGAGCCTTCATCCCTAACCTTATATGGCTATGACTCATATGCCTCTCCATAACATAACACTTCGTCTTGAAAGATAAAAAAATCAGTGAAAGTTTTAGACTTAGAATTCTTTTCCCCAATTCGCTACTTTCCCCACTGACTTTTGAAGTTGAGAGGAGGTTGGTGTGGAGTTTTCACTGGCTGTGTGGAGTTTTCACTGGCTGTCTAAACAAGTTATCGATAAGCATTGATTCTATCTATGTACCTTTCCTTCAGGTAGGCTGTTGCAGCCTTGCTGTGACAACATTTCGTTTTCTTCTTCTTCGCGTTCACCAGCAGTACAGTCTGGTGGAAAGTTCTGGTTGTTCATCCACTTCTGGACTGCAGTCCTGTTCCAGAACCTGAGTGTTGTGTGTACAGATCTGATTCACTTGAGTGCGGACTGTTGGTTCCTTGCCCCTCAGGCAGATGTACTCTCAACTTCAAAGGAAGCTCCCAATAAGTCAACTCTTATGACATGCTTTTTGGTAGGCAGTGGGTCTATTCTTGTTTTCCCTATAACAGGGCCCCAGAACCTACACAGGGAAATTATAGGAATTTCCCCAGTGCTATAATGTTGGTTCTTAACTTACAACTCTGTAATGCTGTAATGAGATGAGATTTACTTGCCATAATAATAATTTAGCATAGAGCAATATGTTTAGTGCATCTTTCAACAAACAACAATAAATCCAAAATATGCATTTCTGAAACTTTGCAATAAAAACTTACGTATCATCTTCTTCATATTCTCTGCCAAGCTCAGCGTCTCGTTTCCGTTTACCCAGAGTCTCATCTGTAGGTAAGAAATAGGCCACAAACTGTTCACCACTCTCATCCACAGCACCTCTGAAGAAAGAAAATTGCTTTATATGTGATGAAAATGACATTACATGTAAAGAAAATCACATTATATATAAAGAAAATTACATTATATATAAAGAAGATCACATTATATGTACAGAAAATTACATTATATGCACAGAAAATTACATTATATATAAAGAAGATCACATTATATATAACAGTTTCATTGGTGCAATGAACTTGATAAGGATGATAAACTAAGTCACCAGAAATAGCACAGTATTACCTCGTGAGATGAGCCAATAAAAATTAATTTTAGGTTTTTCTCAAAATACAAGAAAACATAAAAACATCTAGTAGTGTTACAAATACACAATATCAGACACCTCCACTTCCCCAACAAGAATGTCATAAAAGTTGACCAATTAGAGGTTTGCTAAACATCAGACGTGTTGGACTGAAAGGTACAGCCTAGCCGTAAACCACAATAAAATATGCTAACTGACCCTTTTAGGGACATACACAGAAGCAGAAGAAACAGCTCCTATTTTTAATGTGTTTATTACCTCTCTAGATGGTATTTATCTTTTTGTTGTTGTTGTAAATATCAGAGCCTACCTGTAAATCACAAGACAACATTCCAGCTGCCGGTTTAAAGGCAAACAAAGAAGTAGATTAAACAGCTCCTATTTGTATCATGTTCATTATCTCTCTACGTGTTAAGATATTTATCAGGTTGAAAACAATTTTTAGGAACCAAGTAATAAAACCCACCTAATCATGGCTTGGGACATCTCCTCCAACTGGACTGGAGCTGAGTAACCTTTTGGTGCAGGGTCGGAGTCAAACAACACTTGAGCAAAAGGATGCTTCCACAACTAGCAACAATCAAAGCATAAAAAAATTATAAATTTGTCAAGACTATATTTTTAAAACGTTTCAATAAATTTGTGTTATTATTAAGTAAGACAATGATAGTTTCTTCTTCTTCATGTTCACCGGCTGTAAACTCCAGCAGAAAGTTCTGGTTGTTTGTCTACTTCTGGACCCTCAATCTTTTTCCAGAACCTGAGTGTTGTGTGTGCATCCGTTTTACAGATGACTCATTTGCATGCAGCTGTTGGTTCCTTGCCTCTCAGGCAGATGCACTCTGACTTTGAAGGAAGCTCCTAATTAGTCAACTCTTACAATATGCTTTTCGGTAGGCAGTGGGTCTGTTTTTGTCTTTTATAACAGACTCTGCCAGTGGGGAGGGGGACGGAGCAGATACAAAGATCATGGGCTCAAATCCTAACAATACTTGACTTTTTTCAAAATGACCTTGACTCTCAGGTCAACCTAGCCTTAAATGAGTACCAGGAAAAAGTCACAGGAAGTAAAGGTGGCCAACGTGATGTTGACCACACTATTCACTGAGTGCCGATTCCCACACCATTCACTGAGTGCCGATTCCCACACCATTCATCAATTCATCAATAAAATACAGGTCCAGCCCCATATGCCCATTACGTCTTAAGACATGGAAAAGGGTCTTTTATTTTGTTTACTACCACTAGGGTATGAAATGTAAGGCCTTAGCATATTCTAAAACACAACATATAAGGTTAGATGGTCAGATACCTCCTTTGTAGGTGTAGGATATTGAATGTAACAATTAAGTCCCAAAGATCATTTATATTTTACAGCAATGTATGTACTTATGTACTTTATACAGTATTCTTTCTAAATAGACACTCAAGCATTATCATCACATGTAGCTTACAATAGTTTTAAGAGCTGTCATAAATAGTTCTAAGTTCCCCCGTGTGGGTTTCGGGGCCCTATTGTGGGGATAACAAAAATAGACCCACTGCATCACCAAAAGCATGTCGTAAGAGTCGACTAACTGGGAAGCTTCCTTTGAAGTCGGAGTGCATCTGCCTGAGAAGTAAGGAAACAGCAGTCTGCATTCAACTGAATCAGATCTGTAAAACTGATACACACGCAACACTCAGGTTCTGGAGCAGGACTGCAGTCCAGAAGTGGACGAACAACCAGAACTTTACGCCAGAGTGTACAGCTGGTGAACGCGAAGAAGTAGAAGAAGTTATAAGTTATCAACATCATCATCCTGATGAGTATTTTCCACATGGCTCCTCAATTCTCCTATTCCATTCTATTCAGTGCAACCTTTCAATAACAGGTATGGAATTGAATCCAGTGCTGGCTTATTTCAGTGTTCATCACAGGATTTCTCTTGGACAACCTCATTTCCTCAGTTTATCTGGTTCCCCCTTAAGCCCCTGTTTGGAGAACCTTGATCTCCTTTATTTCAGAATGTGTGCAACTTTTAAGTCTAAAATCTGTTGATACCAGCAGTTGTCCTGATATCTTCCCGATTGCTTCGTCTGTTCTTCCCCTTAAAACAATATGTCTTATTTAATCTTATAAACACACACGCGTAAACATACATACATATATATATATATATATATATATATACACACACACACACACACACACACAATTTACGTAAACACACATATAGGTTTGTGTGTGTATGCATGTGCATATACTAACCTGGAAATCTGGGAACACTTCCATAATCTGGACAGGCGTCACACCAGGTTTGCTGTAATGTTTCATTATCTGAAAGAAAAGGGTACAGATCTGTAATTTGTGTTTTCCTGCCACAGGGTACACTACATGTGTGCTGCACCTCATAGGCCCTTTTTGGGGATCTGGCTTACTTACGTGCAGACTATTGGTTCCTCACCTCTCAGGCAAATGCACTCCAATTTCAAAGGAAACACCCTTAATTAGTCAACTTTCACAGCATGCTTGCTAGGGGGCAGTAGATCCATCTAAACCCCCAGAAGTAAATAATAGTAACATTTCTTCTACATCATCCATCTGGATGATGTAAATGCATTGTGCTTGCGAATTTGCATCTTTCGGCCGACGTATACAGCTTCTGGCATTCATTTTTTGGGCTAGCCTCCCTGGTGTTAGTTTCGTAGGATATTGAGGAACACTTTACAGCCTCGTTTGTTTGGTGGCGTCGCCATCACCTGATCCCCCCAAGATACTGTCCCTAGAGACCTGTCCAAGACAGTCACGCGCAGACTGGTCAGCCTTCAAGGAAAGGCAGGGGCAAAATATAGGAATTTCCCCGCCATCCATGGAGACTTTCATACGTGGTCCTGGACAGAGCACATAATGAAGAGGGGAAAATAGTATGACTAGAAAAGCATTTCCCTAACAGCAACAGGGAGTGACAATGGCCTAAAAATGTCTTCTTCTGATCATTCACCAGCGACAAACTCTGGCAGAAAGTTATGGTTGTTTGTCCACTTCTGGACTCTGGACTTGTTCCAGAACTTGAGTTTTGCAAGTGCAATCTATTTTACAGACCGAGCTTACTTATATGCAGACTTCTGGCTCCTCATCTCTCAGGCAGATGCATTCTGACTTCAAAGGAAACACCTCTAATTAGTCGCATTTTGCGTCATGATTGTTAAGGGGCTGTTTAACTATCTTCTCCCCAACGTTTTCCCTACAATGGTGCAGCGCTAGCTACATGACACGGGGAAGAGTTAGAAACATAAATGAATAATATGAAGGGAGTTGCAGGAGATAATTTGAGGTTGCTGAGGGCCTATGCTCCACTGGGGATAAGCAAAGAAGATAGACATGCACACACACAAATATTTCTACATATGAGTTTGTACACCATGAGAGGTCAACAAGCATCATACAAGATGGACGAATTAATAACAAATTAAGAAGCCTGAAAAAAGAATTTACAAACATAGAATAATTCACTGTCTGACATATTTTACTGTATCTCTTCAGGTGCTTATAATAGAATACATGATCATATTACAGAAACCTGTTACCTTCTATGAATACTATATCTTACTACAGAAACCTGTTACCTTCTATGAATACTATATCTTACTACAGAAACCTGTTACCTTCTATGAATACTATATCTTACTACAGAAACCTGTTACCTTCTATGAATACTATATCTCTACTACAGAAACCTGTTACCTTCTATGAATACTATATCTTACTACAGAAACCTGTTACCTTCTATGAATACTATATCTTACTACAGAAACCTGTTACCTTCTATGAATACTATATCTTACTACAGAAACCTGTTACCTTCTATGAATACTATATCTTACTACAGAAACCTACCTGCTACAGTGAAATACTTCCTCTTACAGAAAACTTCTAGCTATTGTTTCTTCTTCTTTAGCTCTTTATCTCCCAATAAAGCAAAGGCCCCTCAACCAACTCATGCCAAGTCATCCCATCCTTTGCCATCGCATGCAGCTCACTGCATGTCCTCCCCATCCTTTTAACCTCACTCCTGTCAAAAAAGCCACCCTTATCTTGGATGGCTGGGTATTATGTTACTCTTTTAGACATGAGGGCCCCTGAAACACATAGACAAGGGACCAAATTAACTATCTCTATAAGGAGCCATATTAGCGCAGTCGATAGGAGGCTCGCCTTCAAATCCAGCTGCAACTCGCTGCAGCCACGGTCGGTGTTCGAAACCGGGCGGTTCACGGGGTGCGGACGGCGACACAGGTGCACAGTTTCTAATCAGTTGTCCGTGCTGGTGGCTGAGTACCTATGGTTTATAACCCGTGTGCAATGACGCTGGTTCACATCTCCGGACTTTACCTTCACTTTTTTACTATCTCCATAAATAACAAAACAAAAAAAGGCAGTAAATGTGGCAAGCTTACTGGCTGTTTGGCTTTCTCAAAGGTGTTGTTAATGGCATTTATCTGACTCTCCCTGTCCTTGTACAGATCTTCTTCCCTCATAATTTTCTTAATATTGAAGCCAACCCTGAGGAAGAAACAGATAAGATATACAGTAATATTTAAAAATTAATATTTTTTTTAAGGGTGAGAAAACATATGAAGACTTGTTGTTTAAATATCTTTTAGATGCCCCAAAAGTTTATAGAAGGAATATGGTTTATTTTTTCTCTTTTCGTTTCTTATCCAATCAGTGAACCATCCAGTTTTTCCAAACTGACAGCAAGAATGTTATTAACCCAATGAATGTTGTATCCATAAACATTCTTCAAATGCCAATTGGGGTTTCATCTTCGGCATTGAGGAATTCAATGACATTGTGTTATTTTAGCCGAAAGTTTTTTAAAGCTATTTTAAAACCGTTACATCGGTGCCACCTGTTACTGAAACAGGTTTATAATGCTAAACAGTGCAGAAGAGTGCTTAACGAATCCTGCTAAATTTACAAGCTGCACACCGATACAGTATTTATAAAGATTTTAAAAAAATAGGAGGCATTACTTCTTTACCATTCCTTTATAGTTAGTTAACTGACAAGCTTATCCTTGTGGCAAAAATCCATAAGTGCTCTGATCTCATCTTCAGTATATCCCTCAGCGAGTGGCCACTGATAACACTAGTTCTGTGACGGCTTACAATTCTTCACTGGTCATCTGTATACAGTCATTTCATTTCACATTGTTGTTAAATGCTCAGCTCTTAAGCGTATCTGCCATTATTCTCTTCTTGATTTCATTTTCTACAGCATCCTGTTTTCAATAAATACCTGAATCATTCATGTCCCGCTTGCACATATCTTTATACTGTAGCAGAGGCTGACCCCGATATCTTCTACCCATTTGTGATTCATTATAGATGATGTCCTTAGGAAGAGAACAATTTAAATAACCATACATGCTACTTACTTTGCTTCTGACTTGTCAGCTTTCTGAACAAATCTGTTGTATTCAGTGGATATGTACTCAGTCTTACGCAACCATGAAACATTTGTGTTGTGATGCCGAGATCTAAGGATGGGAAGAAAATGTGATAGTGATTAATTCATGACCCGAAGTGTAGAACAGCCAAACCTAAAGCTGTTCTTCTACAGCAATCAAAAGTTTGTTATACATCTGCTTCAGGATGAGTCACAAACAAGACGGTGTGCCTGAGGTCTTCACTAGAGCTTGTCTTGCGAGAACCATCGTTTGGTCTAAGTTTCAATGGCAGTAAAGAAAATGTAAATGCAGCTGTCATAAATATGACCCCAAAAAAAAAAAGACATAATTATGCAACAATCCCAGTGTGGGTTCAAGGGTGTGGAACAAAACAAGAATAGATGCACCAACTCCGCAACAGGCATGCTTTAAGAGTGGACTAATTGGGGGCTTCAAAGTCAGAGTGCATCTGCTTGAGAGGCAAGGAACCAACAGCCTGCAAACAAACAAGCAAGGTCTGTAAAACAGGTGCACACAAAGCCAAAGTCCAGAAATGGATGAACAACCAGGTTTTTTTGCCAGGGTTTACAGATGGTGAATGCAAACAATAACAAAAAGCACACACAAAATTGTCAATCAACAAAGTGACGTGTCAGATACAGAAAGTGAAGAAAATAGCAATATCAACTTTTCACCCAGTCTTTCATACTATTTACCTATCCTACTTCTTGTAAGGGGGAGCTGCCGTGGTTTAGCGGAAAAGGGTCCTTTACTTTTTATTTCATTAACGGCAGTAAGCAGAAAAAAATCACCAACAAGAAAAGTAAGCAAAGTAAAAAATTAAAGGTCCCATTTTCCACGCCTTTAGACGTATAGGGCAAATAGGGTTAGCCCTATATTTGTATAGACCGATCGGCACAAGATGGGTGATGTAGTCAGCATCACGCCGGCCGCCTTCACTTCCCGGGACTACACCCGGTACCCACTTAAGGCTGGGTTGACCTTGGAGTCAAGGACACACAAAAAGTAACACAATATAAATATGTATGTGAACTAACTGATCATACAGAAACCATCAGGTGTACTGCCAACTGGCACAGGCTACCACATGCTTTGTCACAGCTTGCAATCCAATACAATATCAATCCATGTACTGACACTTTCCCACCCCATAAAGCTGTCAAGAATCATCTCCTGCTGTCTTCCTTTATCTTTCCAACTGTCAGGCAACTACAACAAAAGTTAGTGGCGTATCCTTTACAGGAGGTTGCAGAACTAACCCTAGCATTTGTGTGTGTGTGTCTGATTTAGTAGGCAATTTTAAGTTAAGCAGTATGCATGCATTCTATGTGCGTATGTATGTGAGCAACCTGAATGGTCGTTAGTACAAATACATGCATTTTATGTATGTAAGTGTGTATGGATGAATATGTGTAGATATGTACTTATGTATGTGTATATGTCTGTATGCATGCATTTTATCAATCAGGTTTTTGTGTTTTTTCTTGATATTCATATTCTGCATACTGCTATATTAACATGCTTTATTAATAAAATACAACTGCTGTGCGTGAAAGATGGGTGTCTGGATGGGTCGAATATAAGGCGGGCTTGTGTGCCCAACTAGTGACAATTTGAAAATAAAGTTTGTTCATTCATAGTTGGTACCACTGTCAAAAACAATGCAAATTGGCCTATAACTAAAAAAAAAAAAATAATTATGAAACTACAGTTCGTTCAACTAAATTCTCAAATGCAGATAACAGAGAGAGAAACTGAGTAAACAAAAGAACCGAACTGCAGTAGACCACAATGCAGCTCAAAAAGACAGTAGAGTAATAATATACATGCAGACCTACAAACACCTGGGGTCACAACTGAAAAGAAAAGGCCAGTCAGAGAAAAACTGAGGTAGGTGGTATCTGCAGCAATGAACCTCTATGGCTCAGGATGCTGAAGAAGAACAAATTTTCTAATAGCAAATCGTTTTAATAAGAATAACCTTTTGGCATCTCCAGGTGTATTGAGATCCTCTTCAAGCAATCTTTCATCTTCCGGTTCTGGATATGCTGCCAAAGAAACATGATGACTTATTAGTGATAAATATCAGCAATGTAGTTCCCTGTGTGGGTTCTGGGATCCCATTGTCTGGAAAACAAGAATAGACCCACTGCCTTCCCAACAGGCATGTTGTAAGAGTTAACTAATTGGGTGCTTCCTTTGAAGTCGGAGTGCATCTGCCTAAGAGGCAAAGAACCAACAATCTGCATACAAGTCAGGCAGATCTGTAAAAAGGATGTGCATGCAACACTCAGGTTCTGGAACAAGACTAAGGTGGATGAACAAAAACAACTTTCCACCGAAGTTTACAGACAGTAAATGTGAAGAAGAAGAAGAAAAGAGCAATGTGGTTTTCTCTTGTTGTTGTTATCTTTTTGTCTATCCAGAAGACAGCATTACACTGTGCTATGGGGAGCCTTAGGAATCACAGCCTATGACGATAGCAAGTGTATATTAAGGCCAGGGATGAAGATCCTCCTCTCCATATCACAAAGCATGGGAAGTATTGTAGAGACAATGTGTTGCTCATGCATCATGATCCCTCAGCCTGCCTTGTTTACTCCTCGGGAAAGGTAACCCCACTAAGTTCAGAACAGAGAACACTACAGAAGCTGCCGGATCAGAAGAACAGAACTCTGTATGTCCGCTCTATGATTTTATGCATCATTTCTACTGTATATGGATCACAATTAATCATGCCTGTTCCTTCTTTATCTGTATTTTTATCTCCTACTGAGCACAGTACCTCAACTCATGAAAAGGCTGTTGAAGAGTTGTTCATTTTTAGTTTGTTTTTCTTCAGCTGATTTTTTTGCTTTTGCAGAATGAGGCAGCCAATCCTCCTCCTACTTCTTTTTTTGTAGTCCTGTTCTTTAGTACTGGTTCCATTCCAATTTCTGTCCTGTTATCATAATTTTTCATCCTGTCTCTTCAAGTTAGCCAGCACTCCTTAACTACCTCTAATGATATGCATGGTAGGTTTTAGTGATTTTATTTGATACTTCCCTTATGGGCTTCCAGGAACACATATGGCATGTGTACGAGTAAAAACAGATTCAATATTATCTATGTCTTTTCTGGTAAGCCAGCACTCCTTAAATGCCTCTAATAATATGCATGGTACACTGATTCTATTGGTTGCTTCCTGGAACAAAGATGGCGTGTGTGTGCGAGTACTCACAGCTTCAATATTAACTATGGAATGGAGTGCAAAACAGAAACTGGTATGTTATACTCAGTGTAGCTTGCACTCTGCTTAGAAACATACCATGGATTTTCTGGCTAGGGTATGTAGGTGTGCAGGAAAATGAGTTGGTTGATAGACTCACAGCTGCCGTGCCTTTAGGGAATAATCTACAGACATGGTGAAAGCTCTCTGGAATCAGGTACAACGATCTGCACAAGACATCAAAGGATATGTAAGTTCCCCATGTGGGTTCCGGAGACCCACTGTGGAGAAAACAAGAATAGACCCACTGCCTCCCCAACAAGCATGTCGTAGGAGTGGACTAATTGGGAACTTCCTTCACAGTCAGAGTGCATCTGCCCTTGCGGCAAGGAACAAATAACAGCACACAAATGAGCCAGTAAAACAGTACATGCACAACTCAGGTCCTGGCACAAAGCCAAAGTCCAAATGCACGAACCAGGATTTTCTGCCAGAGCTTACAGCCGGTGAACAAAGAAGAAGAAAAAGATATGTAAGATATGCTGCAAGGTGGTTGATAGCCTATGCTTCAGAGGATAAAGGGCAAAAGAGGAACTGTATGTTATAAACAATATTTCAAGATTACAACACTGTACAGAAAATGACAGATAATGGCGGTCTTACCATTAGGATCAATCTTGTAAGTGTCTGGATTGATGAGGTCAATATTAACACCAAGGTCATGTTCTGTTAGTAAATCAAACTTGAACAGCCTTTCCAAAGATGTTTGCTTGTATGTAGAAAATCTGTTTCATAAGCAAAGAAGCAACTTGTTAAAGAAAAATAACAATAAATTGAAGGTCTAGTTGTACGAAAATACACTGAATGGGTGGCTATTTAAAAAGGACCATTTCGACTTCTGTTGACTAGATGCACATAAAGTGGCAATGTAATTTATGCCTGCAGTTGAAAGCAAACATGTTTTATGCTTCATTATATGTTGATGAACTTTCCAGTAATGCAACTGCGTCCTCACTTTTTCAGGACTGCAAGTTACATGAAGCTGGTGTAACCGTTTACTTGGCTCCTCTTCTATCTTGGGGTGTAGAGGTCGCCAGAGAGATCGCCAGACATCTCTTCCAGCAGTTTTCTTTCTGGCTTTGTTCCATTCCAGTCCTCTGTCAGTTAGGGACTGTTGGATGTTTTCCCAGCGGACCCTTGGTTGCCCTGGAGGTCTGGTTCCCTGGTTCTTAGCCTCCTATGCCTGCCATGGTGGCCGATTTTCTCCCATTCTGCATACTTGTCCAAACCATCGTAACTGTGACTGACCCATTTGGGTTTATAAATACTGGGTGTCAAGTATTGTCTGATTGTGGACTTTGTTCCTTAGACCACATTTCTCAGATATGTAGCTGTTACAGTTGTCTTAATTACAACTTCTTTGGAGGTTGAACAAGGGTATCTAGGATTTGTCCTCTTGGTCTGTGCATTTTTTTTGTTTTTCTCAACGTGGTAGACCTTCAGGTAGCACCCCAGAGGGGACAAACTATGTCAACTGACTTAGTAATGCACCTGACAAGACGCAGCGAAAAATGACAGGCAATACATTTTGCAATCCACTGTTCATGTCCTCGTTCCTTTAAGTACCTTAATAATCACAAATAAATTTTTAAAATTTAATATATAAAAAAAAAAAAGAAATAAAATAAAAGAAACTACATATTGATTTGTCTATTCCTTAACAGCATTCAACTGCATGGCAGGGTAATACTTAGTCAAGCTGTTATGCCTGCCCTAATTGGTTTTTTAGAAGGTTAACCAGTTTCCTGAACCTGCCCTGCTGAAATGCTGTAGTGTACCTAATTAGGTCATTGGGGTGTCAAACCACTCAGTCATTCCAAATTGAAACGTCACCCAATTCAATGTCTCCGAAAATCAGAACTGCCCATTTACTGATTCATTAAATTATTAGAACAGCTCAACACTACATCTCTGATGCTTGTTCACAGCTGTTGTTGATTTTGTCAACTGAATCCTTAACATTACAATTGTCTTCTCTTGTTTTTATGATATTCAACTGTAGTCCTCTCTTTTACTTTGTGTGGTTATGTCTGCTTTCATTTTTATTTCTTGTTATAATATAAGCACCATGTCACCAGCATGATTCTATAGTAACCCAACTCCCCATGTGAGTCTCGGGGCGATCTACTGACCCCCCCCCCCCCCCCCCCCCCCCCTAAGCATGTTTTAAAAAAGGCAACTAATTTGGGGTTTGTGGAAATCGGATGTGTTGGATCAAAAGGCACAGATACCACAGCCTAGCTGTAAATCACATTACAATGTGCCAAAAGCCCTTTTGAGGAAGTAAACAAATTTTTACACTTCACTGATTTCTTACAGATCTCATTACATGCTTAATGCACACACAAAAATATCTGCTGACATAATGCAAAACTGCCTGAGGGAGAGCGGCAAATACAAAGAGAAAGAGAGAGAGGAAAGCAGTGACACAAACAGGCAGAGAGTGAGGAACAGGTAGGACAAAATGTGAGGGGACGGGAAGGGAGATGGACAGAGATTAAGGCCCGCTAAGAAAACAAACACATCAAAAGAAAATATCCACCATGTTCACGCAGAACAACACCGCCCCCCCCCCCCCCCCCCCATAAACTTCCTGTGTACTTGAGTTGCTAGGAAAAGTTATGGAGCCGCACATTTACTAAACATTTAAACAAGAAATAAAATAGGAAAAGGGGGAGGGGGGACAGGAAATGAGAGAGTAAAAGGAAAGATAGAGAGAAAGAGAAGAAGATGAAGATCAGAAGGGAGGGTTAGAGACAATGCAGGAGACGGGAAGGAAGGAGCAATAGGTAGAAGAGTGAAAGAGGGAGGGAAGAGAGAGAGAGGGGTGAGACAACAGAAGAGGGAATCTCGGGGAATTACAATACTGATCGCCAAACACACTGTAAAGATAAATCCAGGCCAAAAATAGAACTGGGAAATTTCAGCTGCAGTCACTTTGCTTAGCCCCAATGCCATCTCTAATTAATAGAGAAGGCCGTGCTTAGCCCCCACCACGGCGACACTATTTATAAATACAACTGAACCGAGCCCCACCATCTCCCAATGTAATCCTTTCTAGAAACCACGGTCATAAACGATTTATACTGTTCATTCTGCCCGGACGCGCTAAAAACAAAGGCACACATACACACACGCGAGACGGAAGCTGCTACTTCCCGCCCCATGCCACACCGCTGCTGTCTGCATGTATTCAAGATCTGCAACACAGCCCGCCCTTCCCTGGCCTTTAATAAGCCCTTTCGGCTGAAAATAGCCAATAATCAGCTGCCCTCACACCTGAAACGACCATACAATGAAAGTAGCCAAAAACTAGCCAAAGGGCTCCCCAAAAATTGCCTGTGCTGAAAATCACAGGATTTCTGACGATTTCATTGCGGCGGTCAAAATTCAAGGTCGGAATGTCTTTTATAAGCTAAAAATCACTGTTCAAGGTCAACGAAAAAAAATCCCAGTAATTTCCCGATTTCCCGGTCCACTACGAACCCTGTTATAAGCACCATGTCACCAGCATGATTCTATAGTAACCCAACTCCCCATGTGAGTCTCGGGGCGATCTACTGCGCCCCCCCCCCCCCCATCCCTAAGCATGTTTTAAAAAAGGCAACTAATTTGGGGTTTGTGGAAATCGGATGTGTTGGATCAAAAGGCACAGATACCACAGCCTAGTTGTAAATCACATTACAATGTGCCAAAAGCCCTTTTGAGGAAGTAAACAAATTTTCACACTTCACTGATTTCTTACAGATCTCATTACATGCTTAATGCACACACAAAAATATCTGCTGACATAATGCAAAACTGCCTGATAACTTAAAAAGAGCAAGCAGAAGTCAAAAAGATAAATATATGGAAATCCTAGACACATGGCTAGAGTGGATCAAGAACACTGACTTGATATGTGATTCTAAGAGATGGTGAACCATCTCCCCCCCCCCCTTTCCACAAAAAATCCCGCCCCCTTTTTCATAAATTATCTGCATCATTTTGTCAGTTCTTCTTTAGGGAGCAGAATACTGGAGAATGACCAAAAAGGATGGGCACTAGCTATCCACCTTCCACCACACGTAAATAACAGAGGCAGAAACTGAGTAAACAAAAGAGCTGAACTGGAGTAGGAAACAAGGAAGCTCAAAAAGACAGTAATAATATACATGCAGACCTAAAAACAACTGGGGTCACAACTGAAAAGAAAAGGCCAATCAGAGAATGACATTTTCTTGCCAGATAAAATCTCAAACACTTAACTACTTCAAGTCACAAACCAAGAAACTCTAGACAGTATAACAAAGAGAAGATGGAAATGGCTCGGACATGTTATGAATCCTGGTATACCTGCCAAAACAGCTCTCATATTAACACCACAGGGAAATAGAAAGAAGGGGCCTAAAAACAACATGAAGACAAACAATAGAAAGTTAAGCATCTCTGACATGGAAAACTGCATTAAAGATTGCAAAGGATAGGAAGGCATGGAAAGTCCTCTATAAAGCCTCATGTGCCACCAGGCATAAAGAGAACTGATCTGCATGGTACATGATTTATAATGCTGAAAATATTCCTAATGTTTACAAGTACAAACCTGTTTGTCTCAAATGGGTAAGTTATGAACTTAGGGTCAAATGGAATATCTGGCAATGTATTGTTGTACCTGACTCTGCAGACAAGATCAGATCTGTGGATCAAAGTCAACATGAGGTTTTAAACATGTTCTAAATTGAAACAATACACTTTAAAAAAAATATGTGTGTTGTTGATCCCAATGTTGCTGAGCAGTTTACTCCTGGCAGTCCAATTATGATCTTAATTAATTGCAGGTCTATTGCTGTTCCAAGCACTAACTAAATTAATGAATAACCCTACTGAACCTAACTGCCCCCTATACCTGAGCTCCTGGGCATTAAAGCGAAAAAACTAAAACGATATACAAAAATATTTGTTACATGCAAACAAGTGGCTAGAATAAGATGAAACTTGGAGACATTGTAGAAAATAGGCTTATTTTTTTTATCTAGCGCCAATATTACATCTGTGTGTGCCAATCCACTCAGGAGGAACAAGATTGTTTCATAAAGTAAGCACCAGATGTTGATGTTTGAGGGACATGCCCTCTTCTCATACTATCAATCTATTTCTAGATTTATAATTTTCAAGATTCTCATTATTCGAGCTGAATGTGTCACTTCAACTGTGAACTGTGAAATTATGACTCCGCAGAGTCTGAATAAAGCAAAGTATTGATCACATGTTGGACTGTGAATAGCCTTAGACCTAATTTGCTTTCTTGTCGAAGTGCTTGGTCCATCGGCCGCTCGTTTTATTGTGAATTTTCAGAATTTTGTCACATAAAACAACACACATTTTGTCCAAACACACAAGGGCGGACATCTAGGAAGACTATCCATGAGGTCTGATTACAATTAGCTAGTTATTTTTAGTCTGTGACTAAATTAAGGCCAGCGGTATAGCATCAGGTTAAGAAATTCCCCGAAAATCGGGCCAGCGGTCTGGTAGGGTTAATGCGTTCAGGACATTCCAATCTGTGCTCTGACCCCTTCATTAGTAGCCAACAAAGAGTTCTGAGATTATTAAATAATGTTGCCAGTTACAAGCTGATTGAAAGTACACCTATTTTTCCCCGGTGGGTAGAAAATTATTGAGGTCCTCTATTCACTCCTAGCCGATTCATTCTCCTCAGATACGGAGGCTCTGTGTTAAATAGTTATTGCCGTAAAATGCAAACATTTAGTAATTTGGGCTATCCTCCGAATAACGGGCACTAAAGATGGCGGCAAAAAAGAGGGCCTCAGTCACGCTCATGCGGCGTGGATTGGGGCTAAACTAGATGGCTAGGACTCACAAGCAATGCTGCAGGACATGCGGAAGCCGCTGCTCGTGAGTGGGGGAATGCTCTCAGCGGTGGCGGTAGTTGCCGGAAAACCGCAAATTAAGTCGCCTGAAGTGCGCAATTGACAAGTGACTGAGGCCCTCTTTTTGGCCGCCATATTTAGTGCCCATTATTCGGAGGATAGCCGTAATTTGAACCCTTCATTTTACTAGGATGCTGCCCGGAATCCATCTGTTTTCAGATTTAACTAATCTATAATTTGACTATATCTCTGCTTCAAAACAACTTACAGGCTTCATTGAGGTACTGTTGAAATGGATATTTTAATCTCTATCCATGTGTAATATTTTAATGATTAACCCAATATATAAAACTTAACTAGCATCCCTATATTAAAATTATCACTGTTAGTACTGTATAGCAACTACAGTTTCGACAATTTGCGGTCTTTTTGGCAATTTCCGTTACCATGGAAACCGTTTGAAACTTGTTTGGGAAATGTCGGCTGGGGTTTCGGGATGGGTCCTAATCTCTCATGAAATTTTGCGATTGGTGTGATTTTCACCAGCTATGAATAGCTGAAAACGGCGGGAACGAACCCGATTAACAGCGCATGTCTACGACAGCCGGACATCCTCTGTTTTTCTGTTACATCAGTTTGATTTAAAATAGCGCTAAGTATTCAAGGTTGGCTTTAGGCCTTAAATATTACCAGACATGGTAATGCTAGTTATAACTGAATTCTCCGTCCAATTTTACATTTGTGTATAAAATTTCTTTCTTATCTGTGGCTATTTCGATTTACAGTGACATTTTTCAGGCAATTGCTATTATGTGGCTGTGTCTGAGAAAAATTGTCTGCCATCTTGTCCAATGAAAACAAAGTGCGCAGTTTGGTTGCGCAGAGAAAACTTCTTGTTTCTGAGACGCAAGTTTTCAACAGCTGTTTTTTACATCTCATCTCCACAAAAACCTACATATCTCAGCTCAGAAATGACATACAAGCCTACATGAGGTATCGTTGGAAAGAGATTGTTTACAGCTATCTAACTGTGCTGGTTTTATTGGTGTAGAGGGACATTTTAAAAATTTGACTAAAGTATCTAGTAAGTTACCAGTCACAGAAAGTTGAGTTGAGAAAGACATTGAGTCACTAAGTCAGTGAAATTGTAATGTCTAATGTTACTGTTAGTACAGTGTTGTATATTGTACACTTATCTGTTTGTGTGTTCATGTAAATAATAATTATATACATTTATTTTGCAATGGGGGGAAAATCGACATAGCAGTTGATGGTTTAGGGGGGGGGGGGGGGCGCTAGCACAAATTAAAAAGTTAAATACGGGTACCTTTTTTCGCCAGGTCGCAACCTCTTATCTCGCTCCTCTCTTCTCCCTGTTTGTACAGTGGGTGGCATTGTATAGGTGTTAGTCTTTCCACTTCACAAATAAAGCGGAATTATGTATTTTTTATGTGGCTGCTCCTATATTTTAGAATTACGTATAATCAGGCGTTAATCTGACTGAACTGTATTTGCAGTTTCGCCATATTGAATCAACACAAAACAATATGCCAGGATGCTATCCAAACCTGAGGATTGTTTATATTTGAAAACCATTTCACGTCAAGCGTAAACAAGCAAATTATGTTATTTTAACTCATTATCCAATATATGTTCTTTACAAATATATATTTTAAATTCCACAAACTTTATTTTGAATACCAAAAGTGTAATAAATAATTTTTAATTCTATTTAGCCTCTCATGTGAAGTTTTTAGAACATCATGCCCAGTGTTGCCACTTTGGATCTTTTATATCTAAATTTAGATCTTTTTCATTGCATTTAGATACTGTTTTTGACGTTTAGATCGTAAATATTTTTCTACATTTGGATATTAAATCGAATCAAAAATTGATGATTTAAAAACAAAAGGACTGTTAACAGAGAATGAAGAGAACAACTTAAGAAAACGCTGTCAAGATTTCCTTATCTCATTATTCAAGCAATTGAAGCAGAGACTTCCTGAAAATCTAGATGTTTTGAAAATAAATTTCACTTTTTTTCTGTGAACAACATACTTCAGCCAATAAAGGACATACCTAAATATTGTAAAGTTATGAAATTTTTAGGGGCTACTGATAATAGTGTGGCGGAAGCAGAATATCAGTTAACCAAAATAAAATTAGCTGAATGGACAAACAAAATAGAAACTAAAGCGTTTTGGAGTGAAGTGAGACAATTTAAAGATGCCTCATCAAACAGTCCATTCTGTAATCTTTTTAAAGTGCCATGTCTGCCATGATACTACCCCACTCAAATACTGACGTAGAAAGAGTTTTCAGTGCTAGGAATTATATCAAATCTAACCTAAAAAACAGGATGACATTTGACCTCTTAGATGCTATCGTGCCATTAAAATTCGGCCTGAGACTAGAGAAATAAGCCTACTGTTCCACTTATAAAGAAATTTGAACAGCTAAAGCATACCACGGTCATTTTGGATTGAAGCTTCAATCTGAAGCTATCTTGTGAGGCAGACACAGTTCATAATTATGTAGGGTGTCATAACAAAAGCTAAATTTGACTTTTTCCAATTGAATGTTTTTTCTAGATCTTTTCCACGCAGATTTAGATCTTTTTAGATATTTTTTTAACACCGTTTTGAATATTTTTTGTCAAAGAAAAGTGGCAACACCAGTGTTGCCACTTTGGATCTTTTATATTCAAATTTAGATCTTTTTCATTGCATTTAGATACTGTTTTTGACGTTTAGATCGTAAATATTTTTCTAGATACTTTTCATATGGAGTTAGATATTTTATAGATTTTTTTCTTTCATTGTCAATTTAATAATTACTGTGTAAAATAAATATCTGGCAGCCCCGGTACTGATTAATAAAAACACGCGTAAATCACACTAACTTTGTTTCAACCGTCTCCTCACTGTGCTGACTTTGCGTTTCTTTTTCATGTGATTTTAAAAAAATAATTGCTCAATTTCTTATATGGCTTTCGCTTTGAAAAAACCTTTCAGCGTGCCAAAAGTAAAGTATGAACAAAAAATTTGGAAAGAGTGGTTGCATAATGACAAAATTAAAAACTGGGTATATAACCAAAGCTTGTTGTAAGTACTGCAAGTGTGAAATTAAAGCGACAATACAAAACTCAAAGAGTCGTGCAGAGACTAAAAAAAGCATAAAACTGCAGTTTCATTTAAAGATATTACACCGCTGACATCTGTTTTCAGAACTATACTGATAAATGAATCATCAAAAGTTGAAGTATCAGTCGCAATGTTTTTAATTTGTCACTGCGCAATTTCAAACTGTGACCATTTGATCGATTTGTAAAAAAATCTTGGATTAGTTTAATTTGAAAAGTGTGATGTAGAAAGTATAGTTTAGGAACTGAAGGACCTTTTAATCAGCAAACAGTTAGGCTTGAAGAATTTGGCTGTAATTGGTACTGATAATGCCTCAGTGATGGTTGGTATAAACAATGGCGTTTATGCCAAGTTGAAGGAACCTAACCCATTGTTAATTCTTATAAAATGTATGCGTCATTCATTGCAGCTAGCATTATCACATGCTTCATCTAAATATTTACCAAGGAATTTGGAATACCTTTTTGCTGAAACACTTTACTGGTTTTCCAAATCATTTGTCTCTTAAAAGCTATCGTGCCATTACAATTCGGCCTCATGAGACTAGAGAAATAAGCCTACTGTTCCACATAAAGAAATTTGAACAGCTAAAGCATACCAGGGTCATTTTGGATCTGAAGCTTCAACTTCATTATCCAAGCTAAGTTTATCCTGTTGATCTTGTGAGGTAGACATCAGTGAAGGTGAGGACATGATTATGTAGGATAAGCCATAACAAAAGCTATGTAATTTTTGACTTTTTCAATTTGGATATTTTTTCTAGATCTTTTCCACACATATTTAGATCTTTTTAGATATTTTTTGACACCGTTTTGGATATTTTTTGTCAAAGAAAAGTGGCAACACTGCTGTGGCTGCCAAGCGTAAACGAAAGTCGTTTTCTGAGATAAAATAATAATATACAATAATTTGTTGTGTTTAAGATCATTTTAAGACAATTCTACAAGCTTCCCAGCTTACATACGTTGAGAATTAATTCAGTATTGTTCGATTTTAAAGACCATATGCCATATGTTTATTTGTACCTTTATTGTGCTTTAGTAACCAAAGTGACAAACTTCACAAAGTAGTCAATTTATTTTATAGAAATAAAATAAATAGAATGGCTGCACAAGGTCCCGGGCTAGGCGGGCAAATGGGTCCGGGGCAGATGCCCGTTTCTGTGCTTTCTGGTATGCATCCCCAGCAAGGAGGAATGATGCCACAAGGAGCCGGCGGTATGATACCTCAAGGAGGCATGGTGTCTCAGCAGGTAGGAATGCTATCCCAGAGTGGGATGGTACCTGTACAGCAGCAAGCAAATCCTCAGGTACAGCCTTCATCAATCGGCCCTGTGGCAGGTCAACCTCAGCAGCCTGTTGTTGAGATCGATCCAATCGCAAAATTTAAAAGTCTTTTACCAAGACTTAAAGAATCGCTTGTGGTAAGCTTTTTCCCCTACAATAACAATTATTTGTTTCTTTTAAGACTTTTAAATTGTTTTCAGCCTAAAATACTGTTTTCTGACAGCAGGTTGGTTGCTGCCTGAAGGAATTGACCACTGCAACCTAGTTGTATTCTGGATATCAGTCCAGCAGAACATATTTTAAAAACTCTGTTCACCCTTCTCATAAGTTATAGTTATCATTAAGACGGTAAAGAGTAAAGGCCACACTAGTTACTACCCTGATGTATCTTACTGATCAAAGTGGATGAGTCTTGAGGCTCAATTTGATTCCCAAATTCAAATACAATATATCAAGGCAGAACTTTTAGCCAAGAGAAACATCAGTGCAAGTCAAACTCTACGCCCCTACTGATCGCTGAGTGAATTACAAAAGACAGTGAAGTTCATACTAGAGACAACATTGCAGATATAGATAATCTATTTTAATTGAACGAAAGAAGAAGAAGAAAATTCTATTAAGTAAGTAGAAAAAAATAACACCTGCTGCTGTCTTTGAGAATATTACATAGTGAGGCCTTGATATCTTCCACTATGCTACTCTCGCATTACGGCTTGAAAACCCTGAGAGCATTTAAACAAAATTAAACTGTCCACCCTGGAAACTGAAATCTAGTCAAGAATCATGAAATTGTTAAACACATTCACTAACCTAAGTCAGAGCCACAAAATTAAAATGTGGAAGTAGATAATAATAAATTATGCAAAGTAACTTTGCATAATTTATTATCTACTTCCACATTTGAAAGTTAGTGAAGAAATGGTCTTTCCCTATAATTTGTGTAATGATGAAATAGAAAGAAAATAAAAGGACATAAAAGTAAAAAATTATGACAATGTTTACACATTTTTATTTTAACAAGAAATTAAATTTTAAGAACTGTCATTCATAGTACACCAGATGCTCTGACTCCCATGGCAAATGTCACATAGTTACTAATAATTTAGGTAGCTTATTGATTGCAAACATGTTGTATTGTTTCCCTCTCCTTGTTGAACCCACACGTCTTTAATTCACACATCCCTGTATATGTTGTTTCATTTACTGTTGTATCTTTAGCTTACGTTCAGTCATATGTAGACTTCATAATGTTTACAAGTTATGTACAGAAAACATGTAGCTTTGTCTTTATAAAATAAACAACTGTTATAGCTATAGGAATCCACATATTCATGCTGTTGTTATGCTATGTAAGGTAAAAGGACAGTTGAAAATTGATGTATTTAAGTTTATTCAACATATTTTTTTTTCACTTTATTGCAGAATCTCTTTAAGACCGGTGGTCATCTGTTTTATCAAAACGCCACGCAAGATGAGACAGGGTGAGTTTATTTTCTTATACACGTGCATGTAGATTTATAAGAACTTGGGTGAATATCGCGGTGAGTTAAGTTGTCAGAACCTTTTCGCTATCGTGTGACATTACAGATTAAAGTTTTTCATACTCTATATGGACAAAGAAGAGAAGAAATACTGAAATTTAAGCAGATCTGAACATCAAGGAAGATTGGCTAATAAACAGCATCTTCTCTCAGAAGCTGAAATATTTTGGTTATATCAAGCACCATGGCGGATTGGGAAAAAATAATGGCAGAAGGCGTGGTACTAGAAAGGTGGGACAGGGGCCGACTAACACGAAGATAGGCACAAGATATAAGTGACTTCTTGAATGTGAAAGTATTTGAGGCGGGAAGAGCTGGTGAGAGACTGAGTTTCTTTCAAGCAGACCATGATGAGAGCGAAATTCAGCAGACGACTTTCTACATGATGATGACGACATACTATATTGGACAAAATCATTAGTTAGTGAGATCAGGGTTAAGTAAAATGATGGGAATTCAAAGAAAGGTAACTAGATTTCTTATTGATGGGTCAGACTCGTAGAACATGATTCACAAAAATATAGAACCTAGTATTCTAAACTACATATAGCTTACATTGTTTGGCAGGACCTGGCTACAAAACTGATAGCTACAGGAACACAAAGGATTCATTCTGGTGAGGTTATATGAAATAACATGTACAAGAATGTGTGAATGGAGAATTAAATGTGGTTCCAGCAAGGAGGGACATGTGAGAAGAAGAAAACGACATATGTATAATTAATGTACTATGGGAACAGTTAGCCAGATTAACGGTACCTATAATGGAATCAAGGCCGAGCCAAAGGGTTTACAACTCATGGTTTCAGGATACGGAAAAAAAAAAAAAAAAAAGACATTTGCTGTAGGAAATGGAACATCTGTAGGAATGCCCAGTGTGCTATGATGTTGTGTCATAAATCGGTAATCCATAATCAGTCAGGACTTGTGGTGTTAAAATGAAATAAGAGAAAGAAATTGTTACTGTTTTTCCAGTCATTGATTGTATGTCAGTGGCATTAGAATTAAATGCAAGAAAAAATTGTAACTCTTTGTTCTATTTATTTCAGTGTTCAATATGAACATGTCAGTGGAAGATTTGACAAAAGTCTGGAGGAGTTCTATGCTATTTGTGATCAGATTGAGATATGTCTGGTAAGTTTCTCTCTCTTTCCAGTATTAATAAATTGCATAATAAAATGTACAAGGTCCGTTTTGGCTGCAACGAAAAACACCAATGGAAAAACTTAAATGTGCTATTTTTTCAGTCGAAATCTTCTTTGGGGCTGCATGTGAGTGATTTATGAGTGCAAACATAAATGCTCCTGCGAGGTTCATGCTGTGATCCTTTTTTGTTAGCAAAAAAACAACAGTGCTGCAGAAATTCACAGGCAACTCATTGAGGTTTATAGGCCAGATGTTATGACTGATAGTATGTTTTGGAAATGGTGTTGAATGTTTAAAGAAGGACGAACAGATATCCAAAGTAAAGATCGTAGTGGTGACAGACGATTTGGTTGAAAAGGTGACCCCATAAAATCAGGAAATTGTCGTTTCTCAATTTCTGCACTGTCTGTCAGATTTTCGGAAGTTTTACATTTACTGATTTACGACATTGTGACTAGAAACCTTGAATAAAAAAAAAAATTATGTGCCCGATAGGTACCGAAAATGTTAACAAATGAATACAAACAGAAATGCCTAGCTTCGGCTTCAACAAATATTTTGCGGCAATATCAGAACGAAGAAGATGAATATTTGGGCACATTGTTACTGGAGTTGAGACCTAGATTTCCTTCACAAACATTGAATCAAGCAACATGGTCCCCAAAAGCAATGAATTTTAAGCAAGCACCTTTTGCGCAATAATGCTCGACCTCACGTTGCAGATGGAACTGTTAGATTGTTGCAAAAATGTCACTAGGGCATTGTTGATCACCCACCATACAGCCTTGATCTGGCACCAACTGATTACCACCTTTTCGTGCACCTATAGTGGCTAGCATCCCAGCAGTTTGAAACTGATGATGAACTGCGGGCAGACGTTAATGAATAGTTCAAGACACTGGCCGCAGACTTCTATGACATTGGAATTAAGAACCTGGTGCCACAATATCAAAAATGTGTTGAAGTTAATGGTGACTATGTTGAGAAATAATGTAAATGTGTTCATTTTTGGCTGTAATAAATCGTTTTTATTTTATGCCAGGACTTACTTAAAAATCACGCCTCAAATGTAGAAATTTGGGAACTGGATGCCATGGACCCTGTTGCATGGAGGGGAAACGAAACTAGAAAGGGAATAGAGGGTTATGGCGAGCTCATTTTGCTAGTCACACTCGCCATCACCATGGGCAGAGGTTCCCATGCTTCCTTAGGGCACAGTAGAACACTGTTATCTGGAAAGACAGAAAGGTACCAAGAAGAATGTAGCATATGTGCTTATATATACAGTGAATATATAATGAGAGCTTCAATTGGTATGCCCGGAATTGTGGTTGGTGGGCACAATATAAACAATTTACGTTATGCTGATGACACAGTCTTGATAGCAACATGTCAGAAAGAACTACATGAAATGATAGACATTGTGGTGTTAGAAAGTGGAAGAATGGGCCTCAGTTTGAATAATGGGAAGACACAAGTAATGGTGGTATCAAAGAAACGAATTATTCCTAAGTGTGTAATAAAAGTTGATGGTGTTATGTTAGGACAAGTACAGAAATTTAAGTATCTGGGCACATGGATAACATAAGATGGAAGATGCATAACTGAGATAAGAAACAGAATAGGACAGGCAAAAACTGCATTTTATAAAATGAAAAACATCTTGTGCAATATATCCTTGTCATTGAGAGTTAGAAAAAGAATTCTTGCTTGCTACATACATCCAGTTTTAACATATGGCTGTGAATCCTGGACAATCAGTAGGCAGGCCAAACAATTTCTGGTGGCCTCGGAGATGTGGTTTTACAGAAGATGCTAAGAATACCTTGGACAGCCAAAAAGAGCAATGAAGAGGTTTTGATAGAGGCGGGAGCCCGAAGACAACTTATCACAGACATCAGAAGGAGACAGTCATCATTTTGCGGCCATGTTATGAGAAGAGGGAAAATAGAACATGTTGTGACCACAGGAGAGATAGAGGAAGACAACGAGAGAAGATGCTTGACAGTCTTGTTGCATGGCATGGAGGCGTGTCGGCACACGAACTGATACATGCTGCAGCAGATCGCAGATTATGGAGAGGCATGATCGTCCACGCCAGTCGGCAAGGCACCTGATGATGATGATGTGCTTATATTATGTAACCATATTTTTATCATCCTTCTTAATATTCACCTGAAGAAAGACCTTGTTGTTCGTCCACATCTAGGCTTGTCTTATTCTAGAACTTGGATTTCTTCTTTGAGACAAGGGGGGTGCAGACAGCATTATATTTAATTGCAACAACAACAAAATAAGGGTGAAATGGTCACCATCTAACTCAACTGCCAAAAGACAGTATACCTCAGTTAGCAAGTAATGAATGAATCAAGAATTAACATGACTGCACTCTGGGAATTACGTAAAACCTTTTATCCGTCATATACGCAATTGGTGTGTCTTGTGTACACCCTGAAATAACTCACATGACTTCATTTTGAATGCATTCCAACTTCTCTCTTTGGGTATGAGATTATGATAGCAGTCCCAAACCTTACTCCATCATCAAAATAATCAGTTGCTGGTAGAGTGTATAGAGCAATGTTTATTCCATGTCCGCTGATGTCATCATTTTTGAAGCATTGAGCCCTTTCCCTTTCTTTAAAACTACCTCCTCCACGTGATATTTGGAAGAGACTCCTGCCAAACATAATTTCTAGATATTTTAGTGAATTGGCTATCTTTATATTACTGCCGTTTATTGTAATAAGCAAGTAATAAATAAATCAAGTTCTGTCTTCCCCGTGTGGGTTCCAGGGCTCAGTTGTAGGGAAACAATAGACCTACTGCCTTTCCAAAAGCATGTCGTAAGAGTCGACTAATTGGGAGCTTCCTTCGAAGGAGTACATCTGCCTGAAAGGCAAGGAACCAACAGTCTGCGTGCAAATGGGTCAGACCTGTGGAGTGGATAAACAACCAGAACTTTCCGCTGGAGTTTACAGCCCGTGAATGCGAAGAAGAAGAAAAACAGGAAGAAGAAATAAAGTGGAAGTCATGAAGAAAGGTACACCATGTAAACAAAAGATAGGGGAAATTTTAAAAAAAGTCCCTAGCAACACCTACAAATAAAGCACATAGGCACTCCCTATGATGTACATCACTTTGGCACTGCATGGTACAAAAAGGTTAGATCACACTGTCATTTTTAAAGAAAAGTTTGTGAATTGAAACTATATCTACACATATTTATTATTTCAGCGTCTGGCTTATGAAATACTTCAACAGGACAGGGACAGTGCTAGAAATACTCCGAACCCTGTTCTGCCACAAAAAACAGATGCTCCCCAACCAGAAGGACAACTATATTCTCACTACCTGTCAACTGTCAGAGCACAGATCAGTTGTGCTAAAGACATCAGAGACTTGTTACATGAATGCCTGAAAAATTTCCCAGAGCACAGCCATCCTTAAGGTGCATCTCCATGAGTCACACAACTTCTTCTTCTTCACTTCCTCTTTAACCAACACAGAACTGGTGTTGTCAGCCACTACATGCTGTGAGATGTTACACAGCACCACTGCAATTTGACTTAGTTGGCACTGTGCCGAAGTCACCTAAATGCAGTTTTTACCTGAGTGCATTTTCAGGGCTGTTATTAATTATTCAGCATGCCAAACCACACACGTGAGTGCCTACTCTGGATAGGTCAAAATTGTTATTATTGCTGCACAATTTTCATTTGTTATTTGCGTTGACTGGCTGTAAACTCCAGCTAAAAGTTCTGCTTGTTTGTCCATCTCTAGACTTTGGTCTTGTTCCAGACTTTGAATGTTGCATGCACATTTGTTTTACAGATCTGACTTATCTGAATGCTGATTGTTGGCTCCTTATTTCTCGGCTAGATGCACTCCTACAAGAATTTTCTCACATTGTCTTAAACTCTTTGTCCAGAAATCTCCCCGGTGGTCACACCATGTTCCATTCATGAACTGCTAAAATTATCTTCTTCGTTCTCACTTCAAGTTCAAGTTAGGATGTTAAAGATCACGTTTATATTGCAGTGGACACTGAATGCATCTATCTTTTGTGTAGTAGGGGTGGGGGGATTGTGTGAAGGGAATTCATGCTCAGTGGAATAAATAATGGTCCCACTGCAGATGCTGCTGCCTGGCGTGTAAACAGTGATTGGTGTCTCTAAGGTAGTCACAGCAGACAAAGATCGGTTTTAGGGCTTTATTAATATCTTACCTTTGATGACATCACAGAACAATCCAACATTTAAGAGGGGGTAAAACTGGGTTTCCAGGCTTTCTGCTGCTTTTGACGACCATAAAACATCTAAAACTGGCACTAACACTAACCCACCTACGTCCCACGAGAGAGTGCAGCCTAGGTCCAACGACTGCAAGCAGCCTATCTACCACCACCCCTGAAATATTAAACTGTCCCGTGACCTGTGGATTTTTCCTGTTAAGGGGTAAGATATTAATAAAGCACCTCAGTTTCATGTCAGGGCATGCTGGTGTACAAAAAAATATGCAAGCTGTTGGGAGGATGTGAGTAAGACTACTGTGGAGAGCAGATGAGCCATGGACCAGGCTGGTGGGATGTAAGACTACTGTGGAGAGCAGATGAGCCATGGACCAGGCTAATATGCTGAATGCTCTTCTTGAAGTTAAGACATTTTTTGTGAGAACCAAGTGATGACTGAATTTGCAACCATGATCAGACTGCAGGAACAAGTTAAAAGGAGTGTCACCTGACAAGTACTGTGTAAGAAGCAAAGCAGAAAAATATACCAACACAGAATTGGTGTTGTCAGCCACTACATGCTGTGGGATTCACTGAGGAGGGTGTATGTGCAGTTATGGACTAAATGGTTTGGTGTGCAGTGAGCTTGAAAAAGGGGGAGCAGCTGATACTTGAGTTGAGTATAGAGTACTCATTTTTACACACTTGGTGCCTCTCTCAGTCCATGATCATTCAAGGGGGATTTGAGACCATGAACACCTGGCTATCAAGCAAGTGTAAGCTACATTGGATTTTTGAAGCAGCTGCCGACTGCTTGCTTTTCTTGTCTCTTTCTTGTTTTGATGAATGTACTGTCATGAGTTTATTGTAAGAATAGACATCCAGTTGCATTGCTGTGTTTTAGTTTTACAGTGTATGTGACAACATAGATTATGTGCCAGTGTTCCTTAACTTGGTCACGATGGTTAATTTATGTTATGTGCCAGTGTTCCCTAACCTGGTCATGATGGTTAATTCATGTTATGTGCCAGTGTTCCCTAACTGGTCACGATGGTTAATTTCTACAATATTTCTAATAATAATTTCAAGAATCAACAAAATTATCACAGTCTGTTGTGAAACATATTGATCATGATGAAACTATGTCTAATACAAAATGTTAATATTTGCAATTTGAATAAACAATTGTTTTAAATATGAATATTTACAGAGTTTGAAAGCATGTAGTGGAAGAGCTAGTGTTTCTCAGTGACCTTAAGAGCTGTGTCAGAGGTATCAGCAGGGCCTCCCAAGCTGGACTGGTCAGAGGGTTAAGAACAGTCATACACACCTTAGTCCTCTAGTTGGGGGGTTTGAGCGTGGGGCAGACACCCTCACCTTTGTAACACCTTATTTCCTCACCAAAAAAATGTCTGAGCCTCAGTGTATGGGTTTAAATGGATCACAGAGATTAATGGAGGCTGCTGATATATGCAGTAGTTAACCTCGAAAAAGAAGAATATGACCAGCGAATTAGTGTCCAGCAGCATTCAAGCTGTTCTTATTTGTAGTTTTTGTTGATGTCCGTTGATCAGCATAATATCTTGGCTTTCCCAAAACTCTCTTAATTTCATTTTTTATAACAAACCCCATCACTTGTCATCACCTGTATGTCATTGTAAATAGGGCAAAGATAATAAATACCACTAAAGGGCTTGTTTCGATTCTTCTGCATTCACTTTAAAATGTTGTGGTTTACCGCTAGACTGCAGCATCTGCAACTTTTTGACCCAACACAGCTGTTTTTTTTAGCTAATTCTTAATTAGTCATCTCTTACAGCATGGTTGTTAAAGGGTGGTGGGTCTATTCTGCCTCCATGGGACCCCTGGATCATCACAGGCATTTGCGTAAGGATAATTTTTAGCCTAGCTCTAGGTAAACAACATATCAAATGTTAGCGTCCTTTTCTGTGCGCCTGTACATATTTATTATATAATATAACGTGCCTTTTCGTCTATATAATTTGGTTATGAACTCGTGATTTAGTGATAATTCCCAACAACAACAAACTATCTACCTGATACGCCTATAGGCGTGAAAGGGGATCTTTATATTTATTATTTGGTGGTAAGGAATGTCCATGTGCATTCTCTGTCTTTTCTTGAGGGTTCAAAGAAACACGGCCATTCTGAATGGATCCAGTGTGCGCTGCAGATAATGGCTCGTATGGATGTGAACTAAACTGGCAGGGGATCTCGGAGTTGTTGGCAATCAGAGATGCAGTGTCTAGGAATGTCTGGCTGTCATCAGCCCAGCTCCCGTGGATGAGTGATTGTGGCTATCAAAACCTTATTTGGAACATGAGTGAAACCTGTGTGGTAAACCTGGTTCAAACATTTGTCAGATATACAATCAGAAGGTTACTGGTATCATTGGAATTGGAACTTTTCTCTTGCTGCTGAAGATTGGGACTGAGCACTTATGAGAGTGTCTCAAGTGCTGTGATGTCAATTCTTAATTCAACATTCAAACGTGTGTCGAATGAAAAAAAAAACGTTGAACTGCTGAGTCTCAGCCCTAGACCACGAGATCTTTTCGCAGCTTAGACGAGCAACATCTCCTGCGGGTGGTATCCCGGTACAGCTCCGTCTCCGTGCATCTTTTGTTAACTTTCAACATCGTCGACACCGCGTTAAGGTACATCACGACAGTCTGCTGCTGTCATTCAGCTGATTAGGCTCAAATGTCCGTCAACTGTTTTAAGCTAATTCTTAATTAGTCATCTCTTACAGCATGGTTGTTAGAGGGCGGTGGGTCTATTCTGCCTCCATGGGACCCCTGGATCATCACAGGCATTTGCGTACGGATGATTTTTAGCCTAGCTCTAGGTAAACAACATATCAAATGTTAGCGTCCTTTTCTGTGCGCCTGTACATATTTATTATATAATATAACGTGCCTTTTCATCTATGTATAATTTGGTTATGAACTCGTGATTTTAGTGATAATCCCCAACAACAACAAAACTATCCTTAGAACTATACATTTCTTTATACAGTCCTGCCACTGTGCGTAGTGAGAGACCCAGTAAAATGAAAATGAGGCTGAACATTTATGTACAGGACGTTATGATTCCCTGGCTGGGCGCAAAAACAGACCATCGGGTGGTGATTTTGCATTTATGGAAACATTTGGTGGTGGGGCGGCGCCCGTGGCTTAGGTGTTGTGAGTCCGACTTGTAATTCCAGCGTACCGTGATCGAAACCCAATGCTGGCTGCGTGGATTTTTATCATGGTATGGGGCGTCACAGGACGACCCAGCCTACAATAGGTACCAGGATGGCTGGCCTAAGGAAAGCAAAGAAGGCTAGCGTAATGCTGATCACATTACCCACCCAGTGCCGATGGTCTGTAAAAAATATGGGCGCTCTTCCCATATACCCGCTACGCCTAAAGGCGTGAAATGGGATCTTTATATATTTTTTATTTGGTGGTAAGGAATGTCCATGTGCATTCTCTGTCTTTTCTTGAGGGTTCAAAGAAACACGGCCATTCTGAATGGATCCAGTGTGCGCTGCAGATAATGGCTCGTATGGATGTGAACTAAACTGGCAGGGGATCTCGGAGTTGTTGGCAATCAGAGATGCAGTGTCTAGGAATGTCTGGCTGTCATCAGCCCAGCTCCCATGGATGAGTGAAACCTGTGTGGTAAACCTGGTTCAAACATTTGTCAGATATACAATCAGAAGGTTACTGGTACCATCGGAAATGGAACTTTTCTCTTGCTGCTGAAGATTGGGACTGAGCACTTATGAGAGTGTCTCAAGTGCTGTGATGTCAATTCTTAATTCAACATTCAAACGTGTGTCGAATGGAAAAAAAAAAAACGTTGAACTGCTGAGTCTCAGCCCTAGACCACGAGATCTTTTCGCAGCTTAGACGAGCAACATCTCCTGCGGGTGGTATCGCGGTACAGCTCCGTCTCCGTGCATCTTTTGTTAACTTTCAACATCGTCGACACCGCGTTAAGGTACATCACGACAGTCTGCTACTGTCATTCAGCTAATTAGGCTCAAATGTCCGTCAGTCACATGTCCTGCAGCATTACAGCAAAGTCCTACTATGTGACAGAAAGGTTCAGATGTCCGTTACAGTTGGTTGGCCCCACCAGTCAGAGTCAGGATCTACCAGAGAAATAGATGCCTGATGCAAATTTGTTCCATATTGCCGTGTCAAGTTTCCAGATGAAACAACGTTGAATGTGTCTAAAGTGCTGAAGAAGAATGTGCCATTTTTTGTGGTCGTTAAAATCCCAGAACTGCGAGCTGCTCCCCGTTGATCTTCAGAGGGCGCAGCCCGTGACGAGTGGAAAGCTGAAGAACAAGTACGCGAGGTTAGCATTCATGTGCAGGACGTGACGATACCTTGGGTGAGCCCAGTACTTGAGTGTGTCGTGGGTTTATGGAAGCCTTCTTGGGTGGCGAGGAATGCCCATCATCTGCCCCTGATTATTCTTGAAGGCTGACCAGTCTAAACGAGGTTGGTCTAGATGGGTTCTCCAGGGGCAACACCAGTAGATAAAGGGACAGAGAGGGCACAGCACAAATAAGGCCACATAATGTCCCAAAAAACCAAGCTGAAGTGCTAAAATGGTGAGAAAATGTCGGCTTTGTGGACCGAAAGGTGTCACTATCTCAGCTTTCACGTTAACAGACACAATGCAATTACGTCACTCGGATGAATGAAAAGAAGAAGAAGATACAGACTACTGTAGTACGCTTGCCGACTAGCCTGTAAATCATATGTTTAAATCCTTCTTTGTGATTGAATTATATTGCCACTCTAAGGTCGATCCAACCTTAAATGGTAACAACCAACATTTATACAAAGGATTCGGCTCAAGCATATAGTTGTATATATTTGTAAAGACCAATCGCCCTCGACGAGTGATGCGTTTCAGGACATTACATGGTACCAGTTTTAGAGTGTCGACCTGTGAGCTAAGATTTTTCTTTTTTTTTAAATGGTGGGGTGGATCATGCAGTCGTGTTAGCGTCAGAGATACCCATTATTCCCCCAACCTAGTCCGTACAGCGTTGATGATATCAGCTCTGCCTATACTTCTTCCCGTTTTGCAATGGTGCATTACTTGCCAGCTGGTCAGATCTTTTATTACCATTTACTCCTGCGTGCCCAGGTGTGTAGATCTTGATGATGGAGGCTAACTGCGACTTATGAAATGTCTTTAATTACTATTATTTGCATTAATAATATACACATTGCAAACATTTGTAGAGAGATCAATTGAGAAACAGAAAAACATATATTTGTGCTTCATAGATTATACCAAAGTTTTTGATAAAGTGAAACATGATGGAAAAGATCTCAGAATAATAAAAGCTATTTACTGGGGAAAATAGGAAGTAACAACTAATTGGGAAATAAAGTAGGCTGTTATTAACAGATAAAGCAAGGAGTGAGAAAGGATGCATTTTGTCACCGGATCTCTTCTCTCTCTCTCTCTATAGTGAAATAATAATGAGGGAGGTCAAGGATAGCCCAGGAATGAGCCTACTAACTGGAGGTTATAATAAAAACAATCTTCGTTATGCAGATGATACAGATCCCTTGAAGTTGGAGTACATCTGCCCGTGAGGCAGGGGACGGCAAAAGCCAGTAAAACGGTTGTAGACGCTAAACTCAGGTCCAGGTAAAAGCCAAATGGACGATCTACTGGGACCTTCCGTCGGAATTTACAGCCCATGAACGAAGAAGAAGATACAGTATTAGTAGATGAAAATGCAGAAGACTTACAACATTGTTCTACTAAAGAGTGTAAAAACGACTCTCCCTGAATATCAAGAAAACATAAACAATGGTTATATCAAAGAAGATAACTCCAAAATGTGACATAGCACTAGAAGGGAAAGTGCTTAACCAAGTAAATAATTTCAAGTATTTGGGAACTATCCTAACATTAAATGGATGATGTGAGACATACATTAAGAGCAGAATTGGCCAGGCAAAGGCAGCTTTTCAGAAGATAACAAGTATTTTATGTAATAAATCACTCTCATTAAACATTTTTAAAAAAATGAGTATTGAAATGTTATATCGAGCCTGTTCTGTTGAATGTTCTTGGAATGTGAGCAAAAAAATAAATAAGAGTTTGAATTCATCTAAGATGTGGTTCTTGAGAAGACCTTGGACTGCCAGAATAACCAACAGTGAATGCATGGAAATGGATAATGAAAGTAGAACATTATATACAAAAAGGAGACGTTCTTTGGTCATGTAATGAGAAAAGGAGCACTGGAAAATATCGTGACTGGAAAGGTCACTGGCAGAAGAGGCTGCGGCAGACCAAGAGAAAAGATGGTGTATGGATTAAGACAGTGGCATGGAGGAATATCATCAGTAGAATTGATCAAGAACGCCTACGCCAGCTGAAAAATGCACTTGATGATGATGATTGCATTAATGATCTTTATGTGCTCAGGTTCTAGCCATATTTGACCCATGACGATCCCTATTCTCAACATTTTGGCCCGTGAGTTAACTTAGTTGAATAGCCCTACTGTAAAGGATAACTACATTCGCATTGATCGCTCTGTGATTCGAAAATTTGTAAAAATATGCAATTCGAACGTGCCGCGTTCAAAGCACGCTGGAGAAGTTTGCTTCGAAGTCACTCCCTATACTTTCTAACGTGTCCTGTTATCTCTCCCCTGCATAATATACGAGGGCCTATTAATCCCCGCTAACTCTGCACTCACTCTTGTTTCAACAGCATATAGGGCTTCCTGAAAAGATATCAAATATCAAACCAAAGAAAATTAGAACATATAAACGATTGACCAATGTGTTGATACATAGCAGGTTGAAAACCTGGGTAGGAATTATATTTTGTTTTTATTTATTTGCTTCTTTTAAAAAAACATGTTTTATTTTACAAAATTTAATAGATGAATAAGCAGCATTAAAATAATTAAAGACTATTTGTTATATGTGTCGTGTATCAATAACATTACATTAAAATCACAAATTACCAGAATTATGTGTGTAAAAATGCTTCGGTTTATATTATAGTATTTTGGTATTAGTAGTAGTATTTACCTATATAAAATCCTGTTACAATTTTAATACATAGTGACCATTATATTTTTAGACTACACTCATCTGTAATACATAAAGTGTCTATTATATTTTACATTTATTTATTTTGTAAGCTACAAAATGCAGGTGAAAATATGTAAATCGTATCTAATCCACAATTGGAAACTTCCTCCTGGCACAGACCAGCAAGTGTGTAGTAGTATTTTTTCTCCCCCTCCAAAAGAACATCCGTCTCACAAACGACGATGCCCAAGTCCCCATCAAGAACTTCTAAGAAGAAAAAGTACAACGCCCGTTTTCCACCGGTAAACAATTGTCTTAACTAGCCTTTGTATGTAATGACATGCGAATCAGATGTCTGTTTGGTGTAAATTAATTGGCTAATTTGAGCGAGCCTAATCAGTTGAGTCCCGAGTTCAAGTCAGGGCAGTTAAAGAACTGAATTAAAAGTAAAAGAAATGGTTTTAAGGTTTGATCACCGGGAGTCATATGTTAATATGTTGAATCACACAGTATCAGCAATAATAATTTGCATTAATTATCAGTGTTAAGCATTGTGATTTGTTATAAAGCGCAAGAGCATGTTTTTCATGTTATGTAAATTTGATGTCTAGAAAAGATGTAAACTCCAACGAAAAGTATATTAGCAAGCTTCACAATATAACAGTTACAAACAAAACGTGAATGTTACGGTGTTGGAGCCTTCATCTGCACAAACAAATCAAACAATACCACACAAATACACAAAACCACTTAGCTGGTATCTCCAGGCAGCTGGGCCAATGATTCTCAGCAGACTCAGACTATGTCTGAAGCACAATAAAAACGCACCACCCGTATAATTCAGGAACAGCTTAGTCTGAATTGTAAATATAAGTGTTCACAAGTTTGCATATTTAGAATCTTTAGTCCTTTTCCTTTGAATCTGCTTTTTTTTTTAAATTTATGCTCTTGATTACTGTTATGGTATTTGGCCAAAAGACTGGAAGAGAACTATCTTCATTCCAATACCAAAAAAGGGTGACCTGAAATTATGTACAATCGACTATCTGAACTATTGCCCTGATCAGTCATGCAAGTAAAATTCTACTAAAAAATTATAATGAGAAGACTGCATAAGAAAATGGAAGAAGAGATTAAATGTAGCTCAGGCTGGATTTAGACAGGGAAGAGGAACAAGAGATCATATATTCAACATGTTGGTTAATAATAGAGAAGTGTAAGAGAATTTAATGTAAATCTGTTCTTATATTTTGTGGATTATTCAAAAGCATTTGACTGTGTTACAACATCAGAAGTCTTTGGGAAATCATGAGGAATATGGGCTTTCCATCACATATAGTGCAGCTCATTAAAATGCTCTATCAAGACCAACAAGCAGCAGTCAGAATAGATGGAGAGACATCAGACTGGTTTGGCATCAAGCAAGGAGTCCGTCAGGGATGTGTGCTGTCACCGTATTTGTTCAACCTGTACGCCGAAAATATAATGAGAAATGTAAGAGATGATATAAACAAGGAACAATATGATGCCCTAAACATCGGTGGTCATGAAATACCAGAAATTCGTTATGCTGATGATACAGTATTACTATCAACATCACAAAATGTTTTAGAAAACCTATTAACCTCACTCCAAAGAAATAGTGAAAATCATAACTTATTTCTTAACATAGCAAAAACAAAGATAATGCACACAAACAAAACTGCCATGGAGAAGGAAATATATGTTAATGAGGAAAGATTGGAAGTGGTGGAAAATTTCGAATATCTTGGGTCACTGGTTACCAACAATGGTGACACAATGAAATAAATTAAACGGCGACTATCAATTGCTCTTCAAAGACTAAAACAACTGAATAAATTATGGAATTGTACAGATAGAACTACAAAGGTCAGATTTTTAAGAGCATGCATCTTTCCCATTGCAACATACGCCTTTGAGACCTGGACACTTACTAAACAAGCGGAACAGTGCATAAATGCATTTGAATATAAATGTTACAGACAGTTCTAAGAATATCTTGGGTAAAGAAACAAATGCATCCATACTTCAAGAGCTGAATATTGAAGAGGGTTGGCTAGTAAAGACAATAAAACAAAGAAAATTGAAATATTTTTGGTCACTTGAAAACGTCAGAGAAGTCAGAGAGAACAATAATGGAGGGGTATATGCCTGGGAAGAGAGGAAGAGGAAGGCCAAGGAGAAGATGGGTGCAGGATGTGGCAGATGATCTCCAGATGGGTGTATCAGACGCAGGACATCTTGCTCAGGATAGGAAGGTTTTCCGGAGGGTTGTTATGGCAGCGAGGTTCCGCGAGGGACATGCTACTGAATGAATGAATGAATGATTACTGTGAAATTACCTGCATTCTGTGCTGGCAAGAGAAAAAAAACAAAACAAATGCAGCCAATTTAAATCAAAACACAAAATTCATTGGCATTGTCCTTAGCATCTGGTGTGTCTATTGTCTGCTCGCAAACAGCCTGGTAAAGGATCCACATGGAACATACAGTCTCTGAAAAAAATTCTGAGGAATCAGGTCCCATTCACATATAGGAGCAGTTTCCAGCTGTTGCAGGTTATCTGTAGGTCCTTGTCTGTAGACTGTGTTTAGGCAAAGGATAAATTGAATGTGCTCTCGTCTGTGAATAGGACAGTATTTCACAGCAGTCTAGACCATCTGACATGTTTTTTCTGCCAGCCAACTGCAGGTGATGCTGACGATGTCAGTGTGTGAGTTTGGCCCTACCTAAGGTTATCTTGGAGTAAGGTCTTTATGCCCAAGTCATCAATTGACTGTTATTCAAAAGACTTACCCATGTCTATTCAGTATTGTTGTTTCTGTTCAACGTGTCAGAGAAAACTTTTCCTTAGGTAACTCAGCACAATATGACGATCTTGCATGGAGGTAGTAACTAGTGGTTGGCCACTCTGAAGTCTATCTTTGGCACTGCCGGTGGTTCTGAAACATTAATTTACCATATTTTTGTGGTATGCGGCATCCGTGGCTTGGGTCCTCCTCTTAATTCCAATGTACTGCGATCGAAACCCTCTGCGGGTGCGTGGATTTTTATCATGGTATGGGGCGTCGCAGGTTTACTTAACCTAAAATGGGTACCAGGATGGCTGTCCTGAGGAAGTAAAGACGGCCGGCGCAATGCTGACCATATTATTTACCTAGTGCCGATTGGTCTGTAAAAATATGGGTGTTCTTCCCATATGCCTGATGCGCCTAAAGGCGTGGTATTACAAGCATCGTCAGGCTGTCTGCATTCTTCTCAGCTGTTCTCTCGCATTCGACTACACACATCCAGGTCAAAACTTAACTGATTTCCTACCCTCTCTGGGTTCACACCTTCCGTTCAGGTCTCATGCTTTCCTTGTATCCCTATTCACTCACCACGGGATACTTGAGACCTGCTTATCTCGCTTTCCTCTTGTTTCACTGGTCCTCCTTTCTCATGGCATCTAGACCATATATGTTTGGTGGCTAATCTCCTTTCTCATGGCATCTAGACCATATATGTTTGGTGGCTAATCTCCTTTCTCATGGCATCTAGACCATATATGTTTGGTGGCTAATCTCCTTTCTCATGGCATCTAGACCATATATGATTGGGGGCTAATCGCCTTTCTCACGGCATCTAGACCATATATGTTTGGTGGCTAATCTCCTTTCTCATGGCATCTAGACCATATATGTTTGGTGGCTAATCTCCTTTCTCATGGCATCTAGACCATATATGTTTGGTGGCTAATCGCCTTTCTCATGGCATCTAGACCATATATGTTTGGTGGCTAATCTCCTTTCTCATGGCATCTAGACCATATATGTTTGGTGGCTAATCGCCTTTCTCATGGCATCTAGACTATTTATGTTTGGTGGCTAATCCTCTTTCTCATGGCATCTAGACCATATATTCTTGGTGGCTAATCCTCTTTCTCATGGCATCTAGACCATATATGTTTGGTGGCTAATCCTCTTTCTCATGGCATCTAGACCATATATTCTTGGTGGCTAATCCTCTTTCTCATGGCATCTAGACCGTATATTCTTGGTGGCTAATCCTCTTTCTCATGGCATCTAGACCGTATATTCTTGGTGGCTAATCCTCTTTCTCATGGCATCTGGACCGTATATTCTTGGTGGCTAATCCTCTTTCTCATGGCATCTAGACCATAAATGTTTGGTGGCTAAGCTCCTTTCTTATGGCATCTAGACCATATAGGTTTGGTGGCTAGTCTCCTTTCTCATGGCATCACACAATGGACTGCATTTTTAACTAGAAAGGCTATTAGCTTGTGCAGAATTAACAGACATTATAGCACTGTTATTGACCATTTTTTCATCTTACCTAATTCTTTCAGGCAAGAATCAAAAAGATTATGCAGACCGATGAAGAAGTGGGGAAGGTTGCAGCTGCTGTTCCAGTTATCATATGTATCCTTTAGTGTTTATTATTTTTTCCATTGATCACTGTGTGGGTTCTGGGTCTGTCTGATTGCATCTGCGTGAAGGTAAGGAACAACTGTCTGCACACAAATAAGCCAGATCTGTAAAATAGATGGTGTACCAAAGCTCAGGTCCTGGAACAAGTCCAGAGGTGGACGAACAACCGGGACTTTTTGCTCAGAGTTTACAGTCTTTGAATGCAATGAATAAGACCTGTTTGTGTTTTAGGTGCTACGTTCTGTCCTTTATAGAAAGTAAGAAAGTAAAAGTAAAGGTCGGGAGATGTGAACCAGCATCATTGCACACGGTTATAAACCACAAGTTCTCTGCCACCAGTACGGACAGCTGATAAGAAACTGTCCATCTGTGTCGCACTCCGCATGAAACTCCGCAGCTACAGCGACGTTCCTCCGTTTATGCCAGAGTGTTAACTCTGGTACCTATTTTCCTAGAGGCTGGGTGAAACCTGGAAACCACCTGATTGCGAACACCGGCTGTGGGCTGCAGGGAGTCGCAGCTGGATTTAAAAGCGAGTCTCCTATCCACTCGCTAATGTCTGTGTGTATAAGTGTATGTACATATATGCGTGTATGTGTGTGCTGGTCATGTGGGTGCATGTGTGTTATAGAGAAAGAAGATGATTTGTGCTGCAGATGAGACATGCCTTCATTAGATATTTTACCTGCTAGAGTTTGTGATCATGCCTCATCATGACCCGTGATCTCTAGTACTTTATCCGTCATGTACTGACATATTTTCACACCATATTACAAAAACCTAACTCCTCCACAGAAAAGTTTAGCTTCAATGGATATATATATCCACTGTCCTTGGGAATATTACACGGTGAGATCCCAGTCTCTTCCTCAGTGTAACTCTCATACTGCTATCTTAAAACCACAAGGATGGCTTTTTTCCAAATCCCCTGCTATGGAAAGTGAAACCTGAAACATCAACGATTGTGAAATATATTCACTATTCTCGAAGCTGCACATCAAAGTTATAGTTTTCTCTTTTGTCTTATTTTTTTAACTTATAAATGTGTACATGGGTCTTTATGTGGATTTTTATCAAGGTTTGGGGTATCACAGGTCGACCCAGCCTAAAATGGGTACTAGGATGTATGTCTTGGGGAAATAAAGGCGGCCGGCGTAATACAGACCACATTACTCACCTAGTGCCGATTGGTCTGTAAAAATATGGGTGCTCTTCCCATATGCTCCGTGCACCTAAAGGCGTGAAAAGGGATCTTTACTTGTGACTTTTCACTTGGGTCTTTAAGTATTTTGTGTGTGTGTGCACCTATCTCAAGAGGCAAGACTAACAATTCATTAACCCCGGGTCAGAGAACAAGCATAACATTGTTTCTTATTTTTCAAAGCCTCAGGCTCATACCGTGAAATGAACCAGATCTTTTTGAGTCAGAAGCAAAAATCATGATGGACCCTTTTTTTATGGCAGTGCTGCATCTGGCATATAGACAAGTAGAGGACCCCTTGACACGCTTTCAGGCTTATTGGGCATACATTTTACAGACAAATCGGCACTCAGTGGTGATGTGGTTAACATCATACCGGCCGCCTTTACTTTCCAGGTTCTTAACTGGTACCCATTTAAAGCTGGGTCGACCTAGGAGACAAGGTTATTTTTTTTATTGAAAAAAAAAATACAGCTCAGGATCTGAACCAGCAAAACCTTCAAATCTGCAGGCGAGCGTCGAGCCGCTACACACTATAGTGCTAGACCTGTATTGTTACAGACCAATTGGTACTCAGTGGGTGATGTGGTAGCGAACTGTATATTTCTGATCAGCTATACCACTGCGTGTGCAATTATGTATAATATGCATTGACACAAAAGACTTAATTTATTACATCCAAGCTGTTATTATTATGACTTAACTAAGCTTAGCTCGTGCATTGGAATTATTCATTGAATCCTTGATTACAGAGACCTCAAAGACAACGGCAATAAAAAATGCAAAGACACTTTCTACATCTCACATGTAAGCTCTGCTCAGACATTTTTAGCTAATTGTGGACTGTGATGCAATTAATTTACGTATCAGAGCACACTAAAGAAATCTGGCTTCCCTGTTGACTACTTCAGCTGCGTAATTTCCCTGTTTGAAAGTTATGAATTTCTGACTTTTCATAGTGGTCAAGCATTCCCTTGGGCATTTGCTGCTAGAGTCGCCATGGATTCAGAGTGTTGTCATCCAAACTTGAAAGGAAAATACAAGCATTGGAAATGAAATCTTTTAGAAAAATCCTGTATATTTTATACATATAACTTCACAAATACTGAAGTTATCATTACCACATAAGCAACTATGAATCTAGATTAACCACAATGAAAAGATGGAATTTACAGTAATAAAAGTCAAGGACCTTTAGGCGTATAGGGTATATAGGGATAGACCTATTTTTATAGTCCAAACGGCACTTGGTGTGTGATGTGTTAAGCATCACGCTGGCCAGCTTTACTTCCTAGGACTGTACCTAGTACCCACTCAAAGCTGGGTCGACCTGGGAGCCAAGGTCATTTTTTGACCTTCTGACCCTAGTGGATTTGTGATTACTCTCAGGGACACTTCAGTTGAGTGATTTTGTGTATTCTTGTTCTTTTATGTGATATTGTATATTCCTGAATTGTGCAGATGAAGGCTCTCTAGCCACAGCGTTCATTTGCCATTTGTGTTTTTGAAAATGAGAAACCTATGGTTTGGTTTGATATTTTTTTCTTGATAATAGTAGGATTTTTTTTTTACTAGTTTGTCTCAGGGGTTGATCCAGCCTTGTTAGCTGTTTGTGTCATTTCTGTTAATTTTCCTTTAATCTAAACCAGGAAATATCATTGGAAGTAAAGCTAGTCAGTGTGATTCATTTGCTATACCAGAATCAACTAAGAGCAATTTTGCCAGTTTTCACCTAAATTCATTTTCAGGGCTGTTGTTGTTGCGTGCGCGTGTGTGTGGTTTTTTTCTTATAACTCTACTGCTTGTTGTTTATTCTACATCTCTATTTCATTTATCATTCCTTAGTGCAAATGTTTGTGTCACCATTCATACTTTAAAAATCTTACTGCTTCACAGAAAACAAACAATAGAAACGAACAAGCAGTTTGATTTTTTGCGTGACTTGGTGGTGAATGTGCCGGAGCACCAAGTAGAGGACAATAATGGAGATATTGTCACACATGTTGCAGAATCTGCTGGCAAGAAGGGACGTGGCAGGTCAGAGAATGAACATTTTATTAGTTACTTCACTTTTTCAGTCCCAGACAAGTATTGCTTAAACTCATTCTTTCCTAAAGTCGCAAGGATCAGCTTCATTGCTCTGGGTTTTATTCTGTGTAGCTCAGTCTCACTGCAGAATAACTAGCAGCCTGTGAGGGTGTCGCTTACTTACTTAGTCACTCCTCTTCTACCTTGGGGTGTAGAGGTTTGCCAGAGAGATCGCCAGACGTCTTTATCAGTAGTTTTCTTTCTGGCTTTGTTCCATTCCAGACCTCTGTCAGTTAGGGACTGTCGGATGTTGTCTTCCCAGCGCACCCTGGGTCGTCCTGGAGGTCTGGTTCCCTGGTTCTTAGCCTCCCATGCCTGCCATGGTGGCCGATTTTCTCCCATTCTGCATACATGTCCAAACCATCGTAACTGTGACTGATCCACTCGGGTTTGTAAGGACTGGGTATCAAGATCTTGACGTATTGTCTGATTGCGGACTTTGTCCCTTCTTGTCACTTGGACCACCTTTCTCAGATATCTCATTTCCGAGGCCTGCAGCTGGCTTCTGTGAGCTGTTGTCATTGCCCATGACTCACACCCATAGGTCAGGACTGGTACATAGGTAGAGCGGTAAACAGCCATTTGAACAGGTATTTGAACTGGTTAACCTGCTCCAATGCAAACTGTTCCATCATGATCTGGTGTTTCTTCTCCTCTCTTGAGATCACCATGGTTTTAGTTTTGGAGATACTGATGGTCATCCCTCTCTTTTCAATCTCTTCCTTCCAGACAAGTAAGTTGGACTGAAGGTGTGCCTCTGATTTAGCTATCAGGGCCACATCGTCTGCAAATGCCAGCTTGGATATACAGATTGGTCTCACCTTCCAGTACCCTACAGAGTACTTCTTTGTCTTCTATTTACAGGCCTTGATGACATCATCCATCATAAGAATGAAGAGGTAAGGTGAGAGAATATCACCTTGTCTAACACCGCTGGTGGTCTTAAATTCTTCTGACTTTTGGTCTGCTGTTATTACATAATTTCTGCAGCTTTTGTAGAAACTCTGTATTGCACTGATCAGGGTTGCTGGAATATTTTTCCCCGCCAAGCAGCCCCAGAGCTTGTTCCAGGGTACTTTGTCAAATGCCTTTTCCAGATCCAAAAAACATAGGTGCATTTCACTCTTATATTCAAGGGTTTTTTCACTCATCTGTCTCAGTGTGAAGATTAGGTCTTGAGTACTTCGGTTTGCTCTGAAGCCGCATTGGGCCTCATTCAGCTGTGGCTCTACCAGACTTCTAAGTCTCTGCTCGAGAATTCTAGAGTAACTTTTACCAGGAACGTTAAGGAGGGATATGCCTCTGTGGTTTTCACATTGTCTGTTATCACCTTTTTTAAATATAGGTATAATGATGGCAATCTCCTAATCTTTTGGTATAGTTTTACTACACCAGGCTGCCTGCAGAACCTTTAGTAGAAGGCGCTCACCTGCGACACCCATATATTTGACCATCTTTGGTGTTATACCATCATGACCTGCTGCTTTTCCCAGCTTAATCTTCTCAATAGCTGCCTTCAACTCTACCATCCTGATGTTATCATCCTCATGGATGATTTCCTTCTCGGCAGTGAGGTCCATTATTTCTGGGTCATGACTTCCCTCAACGCCAAGGAGCTCTGAGAAGTATTCTGTCCATCTGCCCATGATATCATCGGTAGAAGTAAGCAGAGCTCCTTCTTTGTCTTTTATGAATTTCAGTGGGCACTCTTTCTCCTTCCTCATGTTCTTGATGGTCTTGTAGAACAGTTTTTGATTTTCTCTTGCATTCTTTTCCAACTTTTCTCCAAACTCTTCCCATGATTTCTGTTTTGCTTTAAGCACAATATTTTTGGTCTCTGTTCTGAGTGCTACATATTGTTTATATTTCTCTATTTCTTCAGCTGTGTTTCTGGCTGCCAGGTATTGCTTCCATGCCCTTTTCTTTTCTCCTATTTTCAGTTTGACTTCTTCTGTCCACCAAGGTGTCCTATGTCCCCGCCTTCCACTTGGGACGTCACCACATGCTTCTACTGCAGCTGCTGTAAGGATATTCTTGAATCTGCACCAGAGGGTTTCAGTGTCCTCTGATGGTTCTTCTTCAGTTCCTATTGCTTTCACTATAAGCTCCTGGTATCTAGCCCTAATATCTGGCTCTCTTAGCCTGTATGCCTTAATCCTCATCCCTTCTTGGTTGCTTGGTTTCTTGCATGGTTGTCGGTGTTGCCTTGTTGGAGCAGTTCTTTCAGTTGTTCTCTTTATTGTGACCAGATAGTGGTCACTTCCAATCTCTGGTCCTCTCATGACTCTGGCATCTCTAACAAACTTGAATGAACTTTTCCTAACTATGGCATAGTCAATAATGGATTTTTCATTCTTTGAAGATTCACATCTTGTGTATGCATGTATACGCTTGTGGGGGAATTTTGTATTTGTAATGACAAGGTTCTGTTCCCTGCAGAATCTGAGAAGTCGCTTGCCATTATCATTCAAAACATCTTCACCATATCTCCCGATCACTCCACCCCATCTAGAGTGATCATTTCCTACTCTGGCATTTAGATCTCCTAGGAGGATAATTTCATGGTGACAGTCATCAATGGTCCTTTGGAGCAGTTCAAAGAATTCTTCTTTAACATCAACTCGCTCATCTTTATTTGGCCCGTACACAATAACAAATATTGATAATTTTATCTTTTTCTTTCAGATCTAACACCATAATTTGCTCCGAGATGAATTTCCATCCCTTGATGTTACTAACTTGGTTCCTGGCCACAATACAGCCAACACCTTCCTTAGCTCTCTCCGTCATAGGGACACCACTGTAGAGCAGCATACTTCCAGCATGATCTGTGATTCCTTGTCCCTTTTTCTTGGTTTCAGTCAGAGCCAAGACTCCTAATTTCGCTTTCCTCATCTCCCCTACTAACTCCTTTCCCTTCCTGTTAATGCCTCTTATGTTCCATAATTCGTAGTCCGTAAGCCATGCCAGTTCGTCGCCGTTAAGATCCGTCCGGTTTTCTCTCTGTAGTTACTTGTAATCATATATTAAGGCAAACAGGTGATTAGCCTGTTGTGCCTTTGCATGGTGGAGGGGCTGCCTCCATGCAGGCCGTCTGGCTGATTCACGGTTACCCACTACTTCCGGAGATGCATGAAGCACTCAGGTTCAGCCAGACCCTCCTCCTTTTACAGTCGGGCTTGGGACCGGTCTTAGCGGAGTTGAGGGTGTCGCACAAATCACAAACTTTGGAGCTCTGATTATGATCCCTAAAGATCTCTGTTAAAAACTCCATCAGTGAACAGAACAAAGCTGTCCGTGAAACACATACAAACCTTAAAGAAAATGGCTTGACCACTTCATAACCAGTGACCCCCAGAGATTTCCTAAATACCTGTTACCTACAGTAACAAATGTTTGATCCAAAGAAGTTAAAATAACAACGCTAGTTAAAAACTAAAAATAGATATACTGCCATAATTGCCTGCATTCACCGCTTTTGCGGTGTAGGCAGAGTGGTCTTTGAGACTGAGGGTTTCGGGTCGCTTGGCTAGTGCTGTGGCTATCTACTGTGCAGGTTAGGATTTTATGTTTGCCACTGATAGAAAAATATCCACAGCCTTACTGAGGGTTTGAACCTGGGTGCCCCACATAGTAAAACATGGATTATTCAACAGCTGCATGAAGAACAAAGTGTTTCGAAATCACAAATAATGTAATGAACAACTCGTAAACACATGAAAGTTGATTGTTACTGAAAGAGTTAAAAGAAAACGGAGAGAACTATATACTGAGAGCAGAGAATATGTTTACTATAGAAGTTGATCCTCTTTGATCACAGGCTGTGTGGAAACTAAGTTTTGTTGGTCATGTTGTTGTGATAGTATTTGTGGCCTAGGGATAAGAAAGACAGTTTCTCCCCGTGTGGGTTATGGGGTCCTGTTATAGGGAAAACAAGAACAGACCCACAGCCTACCCAAAGGCATGTCATAAGAATCGACTGATTGGGTGTTTCCTTCAAAGTCGGAGTGCATCTGCCTCAGAGGCAAGGAACCGACAGTCTGCATACATATGAGTCAGATCTGTAAAACGGATGGACATGCAACACTCAGGTTCTGGAACAGGACTGCAGTCCAAGGGTGGACGAACAACCAGAACTTTCTGCCAGAGTTTACAGCTGGTGAACAAGAAGAAGTTTCTTCATAACCTTGACGTATCAGAGTTAAACATTAGCTGGAGGATATTTAATTTTAATTGTAATAATAATTAAATATATATATATATATTTTTTTTTTTTTTTTTGGCTTGATGCATATAGGCCACGAAAACCAAAGGATATGAAAGAAGGAGACAGAACTAGAGGAGAATCATCGAAAACCTCGTCACATACCTCAGTGAGTACAGGTCCACTTTGACAGTAGAGTAAAATTGAATGTCATTGAAGATGGTATGAATAGTGCTTTTGAACTGTGCAAAGTCTTTCCTAGTTTTTGTCATTAGTTGGAGTAAAATTTACTTTGTGGGTTCCAGGTACCCCATTGGGGGGGGGGGGGGGGGGGGGTAACATATATCTTATGTTATTTATCAGTCTATGTCTTCCTCCTGCTTAAAAACTAAATTGTTTTACTGTTATAAGCAGACATAAGGAGTATTTCTTTGTCTTCTGTATTCACCTTTAAAAAGATGGTAGGCATGTTGTATTATGGTTTAAAGCTAGGCTGCGATAACTGCGCGCTATGACCCAGGACATCCGATGTCCGCAAACCTCAGTTGCTCGTTTTTGTATAACATGCTTGTTAGGGCACACGGTCTACTCCCCCCTCCCCCCCCCCCCCCCCCACAACTGGGTCTTGAAACTTCATGTCAAATTAGTGGATAGGCAGGTTTGCTGTTTTCAGTCGTGGCAGGTTTTTGCTTCTGACAGTAGTCCACGTGTAGACTGAAAGGATATAGTGTCAATGCCTAACTGTTGAGTTGAATGCATGGTTTGACACTGTGAGCTGCATATTTTTTTTTTTTTTTTTGGAGTGCTTTTTGATTGTTGCCAAGATGCCCTGTGTTGTGAACTGAAGATTCAGAAAAGGGCTTGTAGCCTGTTGCCACAGAACTGATGGTGTCTTATATGATTAATTGCTTGTGCAACTTCATTTCTAGTGACATATCATTTGTTTAGGAACTCCGACCGACAGCTGCCTTGTGCATTTAATGCATATGTATGCAACTGGATGTGCTGAGACTGAAATCTGTATCAGCTGTTTTTTTCCACAAGGGGACAGGGATGGACATTCAATGTGCTTTTCACTGGTGCAGGAGTGAAGCTACAACAGTTTCTAATTCAGAACCCACACATTAGGGGGACCGCGTTAGTGCAGTCGTTAGGAGACTCGCTTTCAAATCCAGCGGCGACTCGCTGCAGCCCGCTGCCGGTGTTCGAAATTGGTTTCCGGGGTTGACCCAGACTCTAGGAAATGGGTACAAGAGTTAACACTCTGGGGTAAATGGAGGAACGTCGCTGTAGCTAAGGAGTAGTGTGCGGACGGCGACACAGTCGGACAGTTTCTTATCAGTTGTCTGTTCTGGTGGCAGAGCACTTATGGTCTATAACCGTTTGCAGTGACGCTGGTTCACATCTCCTAACTTTACCTTTAGTATGAAGCAAATGGCTAGACAGTTTGAATGCAAAGATCCCTAGAGTGAGAGACAATACAGTTTATATTTGAATGTAGATATTTATGTTTAATGATTTACATATTTGACTGCTTTTTCTAGGAAGAAGAAGATGATGATGAAGATGATGAAGACACTGAAACGGATGAAGAATATTCCGTAACATCAACCATATGTTCTTCTTTAGCTCCATCAACTTCCTCATCAGCGCAGAATTTTCAGGAAAATGTACAGAACAAGCTTATTATTCAGTCTTCCTTACCTGCTATGGCTCATTCAGGTGAATAGAAATTAGCAAACAAATTAATTATCTTGTCCTGTTTAGAGCTTCATCCATTTGTATTTTTTTAAATTTCCTACCTTAATTATGTTTTTTTTTCCTGTTTCAATAAAAGTAGTGGTATTTCAATTGCGCTTGCGCTTCCACCTATGCTACACCCTTCATGTGTGGAATGGAGGAATGTCGCTGTAGCTACAGTGTTAAGTGCGGACGGTGACACAGGAGGACAGTTTCTTATCAGCTGTCCGTACTGGTGGCAGAGCACTTATGGTTTATAACCGTGTGCAATGATGCTGGTTCACATCTCCCGACTTTACCTTTTTACTTTCATGTGTCTTCACAAAGTCGGACTAGAGTCAAGCTCAATAGGGTCTTTCCCCTGTTGATTCTACCAAGCCCGTTCCCTTGGCTGTAGCCTGGTAGGATGCGGAGGTGCTGAAACACATGTGATGGTTCTCCTAGACTTGTCTACATTTCTCTTTGTGTCATCCTAGAAGAAAATTCCCAACTGTGAGCCTGGCTTACATAGACAGAATTAGTGTTGCCTTCAAAGTTTTTGTGCATCTGTCGGACGGGCACCAAACCAGCCTGCGCACAAATAAGCCAGATCTGTAAAACCGATGTGCATTCAACTCTTAAGTCCTGGAACAAGACCACTGTCCAGAAGTGGACGAACAACCATAACTTTCCATCGGGATAGAAACACCCACTGCATCAAGCGCTTTTTAGTGAAAAGGGCGACAGACTGAAGAGGGGGAAATCGTGGCTAGGTCGGGCAGAAGATGTCATTAGGCAAATATGCAGCCTAACCGACATCATACCTGGTGCAGAATGGATACCTGTGCCTCAGGCGTTTATTTGTACATTTTCCTGTATTGTCACACTCAACAGGCGATGTAGAGAAGAGAATCCTGTTGCTGTTAATGCAGAGGTCAACGCTCTCATCGGTGAAAATTCAGATGAAGCAGATGCAATAATCTATACAGACGGATCCGTTATACGCCAAAGAAGAAGCGCATGGGCATTTACAGCACGCTCAGCGGGCAGAACAGTCAAAGAAGCCAACGGCGCCTTCTCCATGACAACCAGCAGCATGACGATGGAGGTGATGGCAGTGACACAAGCGCTTGCCTGGCTTGAAACACAAAAATACACCCGCGTGTGTATACTCAGTGATTCAATGAGTATGATCCGGAGGGTTCAGGCAGGTTTAGTGCGAAGACAATGGCTTGAATCATTACAGAAGTCCACTGTTCGTGGAATCACCTTTATTTTTGTTCCGGGACACGCAGGCGTCGATGGAAATGAAAGAGCTGACAGGTTGGCTGGATCCGCTATCACTACCGACGGTCAGCCTATGGATCACGCTGATATTATCAATGCCCTCAGAGAAATGGGAAGAATAGAGGACTTTGGTGGCAGTGAATCCACATCACTCGCCAGAATGGCAGACTTGGGAATTAAGATCGGCACAGCAAAAAACGAGACGCACACCAGCTACGCCAGAAGACTTGTTAATCAACATAGAACTGGTACTATTAGCCATCGGACGTTGGGGTTCATACTGAGGGGAGGATCTGAGCACCTATGGACATGTCCGGAGTGCAATGAGGATAACCCAACTAACTAACTAACTAACTAACTAAGCCAGTGAATGCTAAGAAGAAGAAGAAGATAAGCCAGGTTACCTGTGTGGGTTCCGGGGCCCTATTATAGGGAAAACATGAATAATCCCACTGCCTGCCCAAAAGCATGTCGTAAGAGTCGACTAATTGGGAGCTTCCTTCAACGTCAGAGTGCATCTGCCTGAGAGGCAAAGAACCAGCAGTCTGCATACAAATGAGTCAGATCTGTGAAACGGATGCACATGCAGCACTCAGGTTCTGGAACAGGACTGCAGTCCAGAAGTGGACGAGCAACCAGAACTTTCCGTCGAGTTTTACAGCTGGTGGACGGGAAGAAGAAGATAAGCCAGATGACCTGCCTCTTTTGCTGTCATTTGTAAATCATCTACCACGTGTTCAATCCATCTGTACTGTGTGTTAACTTATCAGCTGCCAAACTAATATATCCTGTTATCACAACTTGTCATATTTCACAGTCTTTTTTAGCACTTTTTTCAGTAATTTGTTTGTAATTCAGGATCTCAGTTAACCAGTAATATCTTTTATTCATTTATGTTTCAGGATCAAATAGAGTATTGGATCATCCTCTGAATCAGCAACCAGGGTAAGTGTATTCAGTTTTTTTATTGTATTTTAGTAAGCTGCTTCTACAATTGATAAGCAAAATAATTGCTTTAGATAAATGACCTAAGTACAGAGGCAAATAAGGTAGTAGAGAGAATGTTCCCATATTGGTAAATAACTTGTCCTTGAGGCAGAATCTTTGAAAAGGTGGGGTGGAAAGGGGGGGGGGGGTGGGTGGATTTGACTGAGGGAGTTTGATGTCCATACCCTGAACTAAGGAAGGGTTTTGATATCCCCACCCTGAACTAAGGAAGAATTTTGATGTCCCCACCCTGAACTAAGGAAGGATGTGATATCCACCCTGAACTAAGGAAGGATTTAATATCAACCCTGAACTAAGGAAGGTTTTTGATATCCGCCCTGAACTCAGGAATCACTTGATGGTGGCCAGAGGTTCATTATCACCCAGTAAATTAAAAAAAAAAAAAAAAAACAACCTAGATTTTCTAATAGAGGCAAGGACTCGAAGACAACTTATCACAAACATTAGACAGAGATAGTCATCTTATTTGGTCATATTAGGAGAGGAAGGAAACTGGAACATGTGACCACCGGAAAGGTCTATGGCAAAAGAGACAGAGGAAGACAACATGAGAAGATTCTTGACAGTCTTATGTCTTGGCATGGGGGGGGGGGGGGGGGGGTGTAAGGAAACAAACTCATACATGCCGGTGAAAATTAGGGATTGTGGAGAGGCATGGGTGTCTGCACCAGTTGGCATGGCTGTTGATGATGTTGATTATTACGCGATCGAAACCCACTGCAGGCTGCGTGGATTTTTGTCATGGTATGGGACGTCGCAGGTCGACCCAGCCTAAAATGGGTACCAGGATGGGCTGTCCTGGGAAAGCAAAGTCAGCCGGCGTAATGCTGATCACATTACCCACAGAGTGCTGATGGTCTGTAAAAATATGGGACGCTCTGCCCATATGCCTGATGCACTGAAAGGCGCGAAAAGGGATCTTTACTTTTTTTTTTTTTACTTGCAGTCTGTTGCACCATCCTTACATTATAGACTGTTGCTGTTTTTAGAACTGTTTGATTGTTTCACTGGTAAAATCTGTGGATGCTATATTACAAGGAAAATGGGTGGAAAACAATACTTTTCATCATTCATAGAGCTGAAATAGTGACATGTGGAGAAGGGTTGTGACCGACTGTAGAAAGGTTGTGAACAAAGCTAGAAGAGATTATGTGAGAAACTAAATTACAAGAACTATAGGAACAACACTTGTAATTAAATTTGTGGATAAATAAAAGACAAAAAAATTTAGACATTTAATGAGAATGAATCCAATGATGCCAGCAAGGAGAGCATACAACATGCAAGTAGAAACACCAAGAGGTAGAGGACGACCTAGAAGAAAATTGATTGAAGGAGTCAGTGATACACTTTGAAACTTCACACCAACAAAGCAGATCAGCTTACGATGGATGGTGTGACAGTATAAAGCTAGCCACTTTTACATAAGTGCACTGAGAGCAGCATCCATTGTTGACCACATCATGCAGTGATTGCCAGCTGGTCTATAAAAATGTGGGACTAGCACCTTATACCAAGCTAATGTGCCATTTGTGTAAAAAGTCCTCTTCCCCACACTACTGGCCAGGTTGAGATGGGGCGCACACACTCTCTCTCTCTCTCTCTCTCTCTGTGTATGTGTGTGTTAGTACGTCACACTTCTTGCTATGCTAGTCACATTTTATGATATTTAACACTTCTTGTTATGCCGTTTATATTATGTCCTGATCCTGCTTCTTGTTATGCCGTTTATATTATGTCCTGATCCTGCTTCTTGTTATGCCGTTTATATTATGTCCTGATCATGCTTCTTGTTATGCTGTTTATATTATGTCCTGATTCTGCTTCTTGTTATGCCGTTTAGATTATGTCCTGATCATGCTTCTTGTTATGCTGTTTATATTATGTCCTGATCATGCTTCTTGTTATGCCGTTTTTACTATGTCCTGATCCTGCTTCTTTGTAATGCCTTTTATATTATGTCCTGATCCTGCTTCTTGTTATGCCGTTTATATTATGTCCTGATCATGCTTCTTGTAATGCCGTTTATATTATGTCCTGATCCTGCAACTTCCATTGTGTACTCTTCAGCATAGCCCACTCCTTCAACAACTCAGCAGTGACAGGTCTCCCACAGCTGTCGCACCAGCAGCAACAGTTCACAGGCTCAGGTATGCTCCCCAACAATATGCCACACTACCCTCCTTATGTACCCAGAACACCTCAAGGAATTACCAGCTACCCTGTCCCGCCCTCATTCCCCAGCTCTTATCAACCTACAATGCCTTCACCTCAGCACTCGTTTCAGCTGCCGGCACACCAGAATCAAGGGTCACACCCGCTGCCGGACTATCCGCAGTTCCACACGCTGTCACCTGTCAGTCAGTCACAAATGCAGCCTCAGCCTATGAACCTTACCTACTCATCATGGGCAGCCACCGCGACAGTGAGTGAAAATGATGATTATGATACGTGATGATATTTGATTTGTCTGGAAAATAATGATTTGGTACATTGTGATCTTTGATTTGTCCTGGTAGTGATGATTATGGTACATTGTGATCTTTGATTTGTCCTGGAAGTGATGCTTATGATCTTTGATTTGTCTGGAAATTATGACTATGATCATGGTGTTCTTAGATTTATCTGGAAAGTGATGGCTGGTACTTTAAGATCTTTGATTTGTCCTGGTAGTGATGATTATGGTACATTGTGATCTTTGATTTGTCCTGGAAGTGATGCTTATGATCTTTGATTTGTCTGGAAATTATGACTATCATTCATGGTGTTAGATTTATCTGGAAAGTGATGGCTGGTACTTTAAGATCTTTGATTTATTCTGGAAAATGTTGTACTTTTGATCTTTAGTATTTTTTGGAAATGATGATTGATTAATCTCGAAATCGATTATTGGTACTATTATCTTAGATTTGTTCTGGAAAATGATGATTTTTGTACTCTATTTCAGAAGAGATGATTATGATTCATGATGATCTTTAATCTGTTATGGAAAATGATAATGCATTATGGTCTTTGATTTAGCCTGGAAAATGATGATCTTTGCTGAATTCTGAAAATGATGATTTTGGTTCATGATTTTGTGTAGGTTATTCATGGAAATGACAGGCTTTGCGTATGTTTGCGTTTTGAACAGAATGTAGAGAATCTGTGGAGATTTGGTTATATAGAAGGAGGATGAAGACACTACAGATGGAAAATTTAATGAATATGTCTTGAAAGAAGTTACCTCACAAAGAGAACTGATTACTTGTATTAGAAGAAGGCAATGCATATTCTTTGGGAACATTGTCAGTTAATCTGGAGACGTCTTCCCAATGAAGGTTAGCTGCAGTGGACCTCTAAAACAGTCTTTTGCCCTGGGTGCACACACACAGACTGTTAATACTCCATCTCTTGATGTTATCCTTCTACTTGTATCGCTGTCTGCCTCTTGTTTTAGTTGCATGTCCAGAATGGTTATTGTAAGAGTTATGTTTTTTAATGGGGTCAAAATATTTTATTTCTTGCTTTTCATTAGCTCTCTTTTTTATTCCTAGTCTTTTCAGAACCTCTATATTTGATTATTTTTGTTTCCATAAAGGAAACCTATTTTTCTGTATATCCTTATCTCCAAAGAGAGCAAGGCTTTCTGTCTGCTTGTGTGTGAGAACGTTATCAGAAGGATTAGAAGTGGAGTATCTTATAGAGGCCTGGACAGAATGGAGGCCTGGACAACATAGTAATGGAGGCCTGGACAACATAGTAATGGAGGCCTGGACTAAATAGTAATGGAGGCCTGGACAGAATGGTAATGGAGTCCTGGACAGAATGGTAATGGAGGCCTGGATAGAATGGTAATGGAGGCCTGGACTAAATGGTAATGGAGGCCTGGACTAAATAGTAATGGAGGCCTGGACTAAATAGTAATGGAGGCCTGGACAGAATGGTAATGGAGGCCTGGACAGAATGGTAATGGAGGCCTGGACAACATAGTAATGGAGGCCTGGACTAAATAGTAATGGAGGCCTGGACTAAATAGTAATGGAGGCCTGGACAGAATGGTAATGGAGGCCTGGACAGAATAGTAATGAGGCCTGGACTAAATGGTAATGGAGGCCTGGACTAAATGGTAATGGAGGCCTGGACTAAATGGTAATGGAGGCCTGGGCAGAATGGTAATGGAGGCCTGGACAGAATGGTAATGGAGGCCTGGACAGAATGGTAATGAGGCCTGGACTAAATAGTAATGGAGGCCTGGACTAAATAGTAATGGAGGCCTGGACTAAATAGTAATGGAGGCCTGGACAGAATGGTAATGGAGGCCTGGACAGAATGAAGGCCTGGACAGAATGGTAATGGAGGCCTGGACAGAATGGTAATGGAGGGTACAGTTTCCAGAAAATAAAGCAGAGGTAGACCTCTGTGAATGTGGATACAGGATATTGAAGATGCATCTGCTATGAAAGCACATAGGGCAGGAGAATCAGCATGACGAGAGTGACATCGTGTAAAGGACCTGCTGATGAGTGATCTCATGACAGCAGGACATTTGGTGGTGAAGGGAGACAAGTGGAGAGCGAGAAGAGTAGAAGCAAGCATCATGGCATGGAGGAACATCCAAATGTGAAATGACTGGCAGTTCATGGGGCAAAAGGCTGTGAACCGACATGATTATTTCTTTCACTACCAGAGGAATAGGCAAATCAGCCATGTGCACGTGTGGATTGGCACCTGAGACAACAGATTATGTCCCTCCAAAACTGTCCCAAATACAACATATCAAGACAAAACTTTTGGCCAAGAGAAACATCGGTGCATGTCAAACTTTACGGGTCACTGAGTGAATTACAAAAGACAGTGAGGTTCATACTAGAGACAACATTGCAGATATAGATAATCTATTTCAAGTGAACGAAAGAAGAAGAACTACCAGAGGACAGTTCAAACTAGAAATAAGCACATGATGTGTTCCTTGGTACCCAGAGAGTTAAAAGATGAGGTGTGTTGACATCACAAATGTTTATGTTTCAATGGTTTCTGTATGAACTGAAAGAAAAGTGACAATGAAAGATGATGGCTCTGTTCTGGCCAGTTTCCTAAGTGTTTGAATAACAATTGTAAGGTTTTATTTTATTTCACACTTTTCCAAGCATATCTGTTTCTGTTGTAATAAGTTTAACTTCTTTAGGACTAATACATTTGTAAACGTGTCTTTAAAATAAGCTCATGGTTATTGTTACCAGATAAGATTTTTAACTTGTATTTTGGAAAGTGAATTCATGATACAAAATTTTTTTTTTAATGGCTCACCACAAGTAAAAAAAAAATGTTCACTTACACGTTTAACTAAGGCTCAGTAATCAAATCTTGAATGTTTGTTTCTTTAATCAAATCCTAAAGAAATTTCAGTTTTAATTTTTCCTGAAGTTTTTTTAAGCAGATCTTGGTGAAAATCAGTGCTAATTTATCCTATAGTTTTTTAACAAAATCTTGATGAAATGTGAGTACCAATTTATCCTACAGTTTATTAACCAAATCTTGATGAAATTTCACTGCTATTTTATCCTGTAGTTCTTTAACCAAATCTTGATATGTTAGTTTCACCCCTTTCTCTGAAATATGAGCGCAGCACAGTTTTCTGTTTCTCCTTTCTTCTTCTCTTATTGTAACATGTTATAAATTTTTGTTTTCATTTCACATGTGCCAGTACATATGCATCAACTTTATTATGCTCAAACAGATATCTAGATTACTTCCAGATACATTTACTATCATTCATCTTGAGTGTCTGAATTCTTTTTCTAATATTTAAATGGGGGCCGGCCATAGCATAGAACCAAAGCTCTAGGGCAGCGGTCAGCAAATCATGGCTCACGAGCCGCATGCGATTGTTTAGCGACCTGAGTGTGGCTCAGCCACAAATCGGTATTGACTAAAAAGAATACGATTCTTGAAAAAAAAAAAAATTACGCTAGCTCCCAAATAATTTTATTGTCCTGCTGATTATTTTTGGCTCTTTTTTGACTAAATTTTATAAGGAAAACACAACTTGCTTGGAGGGAGATTAAGGGACAGAGTCACCCACACACCAGGCATTGTTCGGGATTGAAAGAGTTACGGGTTGTAAAGGCATTTGTGTTCTCACAGCAGACTGCTTTGTGCTGTTTACTACAGTAAGAACATCCACCATTCAGAAGAAAATGCAAACTACTGAACGTAAGACTGCTAGTAAAACCACACATCTAGTAAATGCTGGGATTAGTTTATCCTGTTAAAGACTTGCAGCAAACGTTTTATTTTTTATTTTTTGCAGAATATACTTTAACTCTTAATTCAGTTATATGTCACTAAGCTCTTCATGAAGAAAAAAAAATTATGTTATAGTTGAGTTAGCAGCCATAGCCATACAACCAACATTCATATTTATTATAAGTGAATTTTTTTTTTTCCAATTGTTCATTGTTAAATCAGTGGTGTCATATGATTGTTTACAGAAGTGTGCATATGTACTGTTAAATTTGGATGGTATGTTTTTTCTTTGACAAACTGCTAACAATCATATAGTAAATCTTACTGAACAGTTCTAAATAAATTCCAGAGAAAAAAAAAGATAATGTGTTTTCTTATTTCTTACATGTAAAATTGTTCTTGCAACAACAACAAAAATTGCTATGCTTGTGCCCACAGCTGAATAAGCTATAGTTATAGAGCAAGAACAAAAAAATATAGATTGAAATCATTTGGCCATTTAATGAGAATGAATCCAGTGATGCCAGCATTGGGAGTGTACAAGAGAAAAGTAGAAACACCACAAGGTAGGGGGCGATCAAGAAGAATATAGACTGAAGGAATCACTGATAGCTAAAGATTCCACATCACAGCATACTGGGCAACCAAGTGCGCCCCAGCTCAGTTACCGATCATCTGTTAACCTGAAACTCCTAATGACACAAAGCAGAGTATAGACAAAAGAAATAAAAATATATGAAATGCGACCAGTAGTATTAAAAACAATCTCAAATAAATTATCAATATAGTGAACACTTGAATGGTAAGACCACACACAACATAGATCGACGGCATCAAAACCAGTCTTAGAGAAATGAAGGTTAACTTAGTCAATGCATTAGAAAGAACATATGACAATCCTTACATTCCATCTTACCAAACTTCACTCAGATAACTGGAAAAAGGAGGAGGAGGAGAACAAGAAGAGAAGTAGAAGAAAGATAACTCAGAATGATTGAATAGGATATCATTGATACACAAATAGCGAAGTATCATGTCTAAGAAACTGTAGAGCATTGGTCATACATACCAAACATCTCACTGGTATAGAAAGATCAGTAATAACATGATTTCTGGAATTCAAAACAAGAGGCAGACAAGATTTATCATCTCACATTTCTCAGACATCTTAAATTTATTATGTCTGCCACTACTACCTGCTAACAGGTATGTGCTTTCAGATTAATA